CTCCCCCCCCACCAAGTCTCCCCCCACCAAGCGAGTCTCCCCCCCACCAAGTCTCCCCTCCACCAAGCGAGTCTCCCCCCCCCACCAAGTCTCCCCCCCTCCACCAAGCGAGTCTCCCCTCCACCAAGCGAGTCTCCCCCCCACCAAGTCTCCCCTCCACCGAGCGAGTCTCCCCTCCACCAAGCGAGTCTCCCCCCCACCGAGCGAGTCTCCCCCCCCCCCCCACCAAGTCTCCCCTCCACCAAGCGAGTCTCCCCCCCACCGAGCGACTCTCCCCCTCCACCAAGCGAGTCTCCCCCCCACCAAGCGAGTCTCCACTCCACCAAGCGAGTCTCCCCCCTCCACCAAGCGAGTCTCCCCCCCCCACCAAGCGAGTCTCCCCCCCCCACCAAGTCTCCCCTCCACCAAACGAGTCTCCCTCCACCAATCGAGTCTCCCCCCACCACCAAGCGACTCTCCCCTCCACCAAGCGAGTCTCCCCCCCACCAAGCGAGACTCCCCCCCCCCCCCCCACCAAGCGAGTCTCCCCCCCCCACCAAGTCTCCCCCCCCCCCACCGAGTCTCCCCCCCACCAAGCGAGACTCCCCCCCCCCCCCCCACCAAGCGAGTCTCCCCCCCCCACCAAGTCTCCCCCCCCCCCACCAAGTCTCCCCTCCACCAAGCGAGTCTCCCCCCCCCACCAAGCGACTCTCCCCTCCACCAAGCGACTCTCCCCTCCACCAAGCGAGACTCCCACCCCCCCACCAAGTCTCCTCCCACCAAACGAGTCTCCCCTCCACCAAGCGAGTCTCCCCCCCACCAAGTCTCCCCTCCACCGAGCGAGTCTCCCCTCCACCAAGCGACTCTCCCCCCCACCGAGCGAGTCTCCCCCCCCCCCCCCACCAAGTCTCCCCTCCACCAAGCGAGTCTCCCCCCCACCGAGCGACTCTCCCCTCCACCAAGCGAGTCTCCCCCCCACCAAGCGAGTCTCCACTCCACCAAGCGAGTCTCCCCCCTCCACCAAGCGAGTCTCCCCCCCCCACCAAGCGAGTCTCCCCCCCCCACCAAGTCTCCCCTCCACCAAACGAGTCTCCCTCCACCAAGCGAGTCTCCCCCCACCACCAAGCGACTCTCCCCTCCACCAAGCGAGTCTCCCCCCCCACCAAGCGAGACTCCCCCCCCCCCCCCCCACCAAGCGAGTCTCCCCCCCCCCACCAAGTCTCCCCCCCCCCACCGAGTCTCCCCCCCACCAAGCGAGTCTCCCCCCCCCCCCCCACCAAGCGAGTCTCCCCCCCCCCACCAAGTCTCCCCCCCCCCCACCAAGTCTCCCCCCCACCAAGCGAGTCTCCCCCCCCCACCAAGCGACTCTCCCCTCCACCAAGCGACTCTCCCCTCCACCAAGCGAGACTCCCACCCCCCCACCAAGTCTCCTCCCACCAAACGAGTCTCCCCTCCACCAAGCGACTCTCACCTCCACCAAGCGACTCTCTCCCCTCCACCAAGCGACGCTCCCCTCCACCAAGCGAGACTCCCACCCCCCCACCGAGTCTCCCCCCCACCGACTCTCCCCTCCACCAAGCGAGTCTCCCACCCCCCCACCGAGTCTCCCCCCCACTAAGCGAGTCTCCCCTCCGGGCCGTGTGTCCCGCAGGCGAGTGGGAGAACACGTGTGGCGAGCTGCAGCGCATGCTGCGAGTCTCCCCCCCACCACCGAGTCTCCCCCCCACCAAGCGAGACTCCCCCCCCACCAAGCGAGTCTCTCCCCCCCACCAAGCGAGTCTCCCCCCCACCAAGCGAGTCTCCCCTCCGGGCCGTGTGTCCCGCAGGCGAGTGGGAGGACACGTGTGGCGAGCTGCAGCGCATGCTGCGAGTCTCCCCCCCACCAAGCGAGTCTCCCCCCACCAAGCGAGTCTCCCCCCACCAAGCGACTCTCCCCCCCACCAAGCGAGTCTCCCCCCCACCACCGAGTCACCCCCCCACCAAGTCTCCCCCCACCACCGAGTCTCCCCCCACTAAGCGAGTCTCCCCTCCGGGCCGTGTGTCCCGCAGGCGAGTGGGAGGACACGTGTGGCGAGCTGCAGCGCATGCTGCGAGTCTCCCCCCCACCAAGCGAGTCTCCCCCCCACTAAGCGAGTCTCCCCTCCGGGCCGTGTGTCCCGCAGGCGAGTGGGAGGACACGTGTGGCGAGCTGCAGCGCATGCTGCTCGTGCGCTCGCTACGGGCGGACCGCGTGCCCGCGTGCGTCACGGCCTTCGTCGTCAACAGCCTCGGGTCAAAGTTCGTGGAGCCGCCCGCGCTCGACTTGAGATCAGTGAGTGGTGGCGCACGTGGGGGGTGATGGGCAGTGTGAGTGTGTGTGAGTGTGTGTGAGCGTGTGAGAGAGTGTGTGAGAGTGTGTGTGTGTGTGTGAGTGAGTGTGTGAGAGTGTGTGTGAGTGTGAGAGTGTGTGAGAGTGTGTGAGCGTGTGAGAGAGTGTGTGAGAGTGTGTGTGAGAGAGTGAGAGAGTGAGAGTGTGTGTGAGAGTGTGAGAGTGTGTGTGGGGAGCAGTAGTGTAGCGGTTAGCGCTACGCTGCGCTATGAACTTGGCCACCCGAGTTCGATTCCCGCTCACGGCCAACATCAGTGACGATTATCTGAACCGGTCCCGGGCCTCCCCTAGGTCGACTCAGCCTCAAATGAGTACCTGGTGCGGTGTGTAAATATCGCCACTAGGGAGACAAAGGCGGTCGGGCGAGGTGCTCGCTAAGAGCACTTGCCCCTACAGTCTGTTAAGGCAACACGGGGGATCTTTTTGTGTGAGAAGACAAAGCTCCCCCCCACTCACCCGCTCACCCACCCCCCCCCACCCGCCCACGCACCCACTCACCCACCCGCCCCCCCACTCACCCGCTCATTCCACCCCCCACTCACCCGCTCATTCCACCCCCCACTCACCCGCTCATTCCACCCCCCACTCACCCGCTCATTCCACCCCCCACTCACCCGCTCATTCCACCCCCCACTCACCCGCCCGCCCGCCCACCCACTCACCCCCCCACTCACCCGCTCACCCACCCCCCACCCGCTCACCCACCCCCCACCCGCCCACTCACTCACCCACCCCCCCACCCCCCCCCCCGCCACACCCAGGTGGTGGAGGACTCGACCCCGCGCACTCCGCTCATCTTCGTCCTCTCCCCCGGCGTCGACCCCGCGGGTCTCCTGCAACAGCTTGCGGAGAGCGCGGGCATGGCCACTCGCCTGCACACCCTCTCGCTGGGCCAGGGACAAGCGCCCCTCGCCACTCGCCTCGTCCACGAGGGCATCCGCAAAGGTGCCGGGCCGGCCGGCGGCCGCCAAGGCCAGCGCCGGAGCCTTGGCGTAGGCCGAGAGCGTCGAGGCGGTGGTGGTGGTGGTGGTGGTTGTGGTGGTGATGATCGTGGTGGCGGTGATTTCGGTGGCGGTGACCGTGGTGTGCGATGATGATCACGGCGAGCGGAAGGGTGGCCCGAAGCCTTCACGGGCACAATCCTAGTGCAGCGTATAGTGCTGGGTGTGTAGTGGTGCAGTGTATAGTGTAGTGTAATGGTAGTGCAGTGTCGTGTCCAGTGCAGTGTACACTATGCGCTACGGAACGTGCCAATTCGTTACCGGTACGGCACCACACCGGTTGCGTGTTGGAGAGCAAAGCCACACACACAGTGACACACACACATACACACAATGACACACACAGTGACACACACACAACTACATACAGTGACACACACAGTGACACACACAACTACACACAGTGACACACACAGTGACACACACACACAATGACACACACAGTGACACACACAGTGACACACACACAACTACACACAGTGACACACACAGTGACACACACACAACTACATACAGTGACACACACAGTGACACACACAGTGACACACATAGCTACACAAAGAAAACAAAGATCCCCCGTGTAGCCTTAAGAGACTGTAGGGGCAAGTGCTGTTAGCGAGCACCTATGAAGGCCGGCACGGTGGCACACGAGGGGGTGGGTGGCCAGACGCTACGCCCGGCCGCCTTTGTCTCTCCAGTGGCGATGTTTACTACACACCGCACCAGGTACTCATTTGAGGCTGAGTCGACCTAGGAGAGGCCCAGAACCGGTTCAGATAATCGTCACTGATGTTGGCCGTGAGCAGGAATCAAACCCGTGTCACCGCTAACCGCTACACTACCGCTCGCTACTATACAACTACACAACAACCGCCATTCGCCACTAAGTGGTGGTGACGTCACCACGACGCTTGTGCCAGGCCATGTGCACCCTGAGGCCACGTGAAGTGTCGAACGCCCGCTGGCAGGTCACGGGGCAGACCCAAGTGCCACGGGTCGACTGACTGAGATGACTGAGATGACTGGCTGATGCACCACCTGTGCCCCCTGCTGTGCCAACCCGCTGTGCTTTAGCCACCCGGCGCTCCGCTCGTTGTTGTGAGCGTCGCTCCTCCACCCTCCGTTGTTGTTGGAGGGCGACTGCCTCCAACTGCCCAGTAGCGTCCTTCACGAGCCTCCTCCACAGAGGCCGATCTTGACGCTGCTGGTACCAGTCATCGGCAATTCCACTCAGCTCCACGTCCTCCTGTACCACATCACTCCATCTCTTCTCTAGCCCGTGCTGTGCCCGCCTAGCCCCCTCGATCTGGCCGAACAAAAGCTGTTTCGGAATGCGGTGGCTGGGCATGCGGGCTACATGACCCAGCCAACGCAGCCTTGCCTGCCGGAGGAGCTCACCGATGGGACGTTGCCCAGATCTTTTGAGGATTTGTGAGCTCCTCACACAATCCAGCCTGGTTAAATCCAGGATGGATCGTAGGCAGGCGAGCCTAAATGTTTCTAACCGGCGAAGATGTTCCATTAGGGTCACACAGTGACACACACAGTGACACACACACAGTGACACAGTGACACACACACACAGTGACACACACACAGACACACAGTGACACACACAATGACACATACAGTGACATACACACAGTTACACACACACATTGACACACATAGTGACACACATAGTGACACACACACACAGTGACACACAGACAGTGACACACACAGTGACACACACACACAGTCACACACACACAGAGTGACACACACAGTTACACACACAGTTATACACACACACACACAGTGACACACACAGTTACACACACACACAGTGACACACAGACAAGAGGTCACCCTATGACCTCTCCCCCTATGACCTCTCCCCCTATGACCCTCCTCCCGCCACCCACCCAGGCCACTGGGTCTACCTGGCCAACTGCCACCTGTCGCTCTCCTGGATGCCGCAGCTGGACAGGCTGGTGGAGCGCCTGCAGGCGGAGGAGGCGACACACGCAGACTTCCGCCTGTGGCTCAGCTCGAGTCCCCACGCGGACTTCCCCGTCTCCGTGCTCCGGGCCGGCATCAAGATGACCACGGAGCCGCCCAAGGTGACACCGCACGCGTGCGTGCGTGTCTCTGTGGGTGTCTCTGTGTGGGTGTGTCTGTGTGGGTGCGTCTGTGTGTGTGTCTTTGCGTGTGTCTCTGTGTGTCTCTGTGCGTGTGTCTTTGTGCGTGCGTCTCAGTGCGAGTGTGTCAGTGCGTGTCTCTGTGCGTGTGTCTCTGTGCGTGTCTCTGTGCGTGCGTCTCTGTGTGTGTCTCTGTGTGGGTGTGTCTCTGTGGGTGTGTGTCTCTGTGCGTGTCTCTGTGCGTGCGTCTCTGTGTGTGTCTCTCTGTGTGTGTCTCTGTGCGTGTGTCTGTGTGTGTCTCTCTGTGTGTCTCTGTGCGTGTGTCTCTGTGCGTGTGTGTCTCTGTGCGTGTGTCTCTGTGCGTGCGTCTCTGTGCGAGTGTCTCTGTGCGTGCGTCTGTGTGTCTCTGTGTGAGTGTCTCTGTGCGTGCGTCTCTGTGTGTCTCTGTACGAGTGTCTCTGTGCGGGTGTCTCTGTGCGGGTGTCTCTGTGCCAGTGTCTCTGTAGGTGTGTCTGTGTGTGTATCTCTGTGCGAGTGTGTCTGTAGGTGTGTCTCCGTGTGTGTCTCTGTGTGGGTGTGTCTGTGTGGGTGTGTCTCTGTGGGGTGTGTCTCTGTGGGTGTGTGTCTCTGTGCGAGTGTCTCTGTGTGTGTCTCTGTGCGTGTGTGTGTCTGTGCGTGTGTCTCTGTGCGTGCGTGTGTCTCTGTGCGTGTGTCTCTGTGCGTGTGTCTGTGTGTGCGTGTGTCTCTGTGCGTGTGTCTCTGTGCGTGTCTCTGTGCGTGCGTCTCTGTGTGTGTCTCTGTGGGTGTGTCTCTGTGCGTGTGCGTCTCTGTGCGTGTCTCTCTGTGTGTGTCTCTCTGTGTGTATCTCTGTGCGTGTGTCTGTGTGTCTTTCTGTGTGTGTCTCTGTGCGTGTGTCTCTGTGCGTGTGTGTCTCTGTGTGTGCGTCTCTGTGCGTGTGTCTCTGTGGGTGTGTGTCTCTGTGCGTGTCTCTGTGCGTGCGTCTCTGTGTGTGTCTCTCTATGCGTGTCTCTGTGCGTGTGTCTGTGTGTGTCTCTCTGTGTGTCTCTGTGCGTGTGTCTCTGTGCGTGTGTGTCTCTGTGCGTGTGTCTCTGTGCGTGCGTCTCTGTGCGAGTGTCTCTGTGCGTGCGTCTGTGTGTCTCTGTGTGAGTGTCTCTGTGCGTGCGTCTCTGTGTGTCTCTGTACGAGTGTCTCTGTGCGGGTGTCTCTGTGCGGGTGTCTCTGTGCCAGTGTCTCTGTAGGTGTGTCTGTGTGTGTATCTCTGTGCGAGTGTGTCTGTAGGTGTGTCTCCGTGTGTGTGTCTCTGTGTGGGTGTGTCTGTGTCTCTGTGGGGTGTGTCTCTGTGGGTGTGTGTCTCTGTGCGAGTGTCTCTGTGTGTGTCTCTGTGCGTGTGTCTCTGTGCGTGCGTGTGTCTCTGTGCGTGTGTCTGTGTGTGCGTGTGTCTCTGTGCGTGTGTCTCTGTGCGTGTCTCTGTGCGTGCGTCTCTGTGTGTGTCTCTGTGGGTGTGTCTCTGTGCGTGTGCGTCTCTGTGCGTGTCTCTCTGTGTGTGTCTCTCTGTGTGTATCTCTGTGCGTGTGTCTGTGTGTCTTTCTGTGTGTGTCTCTGTGCGTGTGTCTCTGTGCGTGTGTGTCTCTGTGTGTGCGTCTCTGTGCGTGTGTCTCTGTGTGTGTGTGTCTCTGTGCGTGCGTCTCTGTGTGTGTCTCTGTGCGTGTGTCTCTGTGCGTGTGTCTGTGCCAGTGTCTCTGTGCGTGTGTCTGTGCCAGTGTCTCTGTGCGTGTGTCTCTGTGTGTGTGTGTCTCTGTGCGTGTGTCTCTGTGTGTGTGTGTGTCTCTGTGTGCGTCTCCGTGCGTGTGTCTCTGTGCGTGCGTCTCTGTGTGTCTCTGTGTGTGTCTCTGTGTGAGTGTCTCTGTGCGTGCGTCTCTGTGTCTCTGTGCGAGTGTCTCTGTGCGTGTGTCTCTGTGCGTGTCTCTGTGCGTGTGTCTCTGTGCGTGTGTCTCTGTGCGTGTGTCTCTGTGCGTGTGTCTCTGTGCGAGTGTCTCTGTGCGCGTGTCTCTGTGCGCGTGTCTCTGTGCGCGTGTCTCTGTGCGCGTGTCTCTGTGCGCGTGTCTCTGTGCGAGTGTCTCTGTGCCAGTGTCTCTGTGCGAGTGTCTGTGCGGGTGTCTGTGCGGGTGTCTCTGTGTGTCTCTGTGCGTGCGTGTGTCTCTGTGCGTGTGTCTCTATGCGAGTGTCTCTGTGCCAGTGTCTCTGTGCGTGTCTCTGTGCGTGCGTGTGTCTCTGTGCGTGTGTCTCTGTAAGTGTGTGTCTCTGTGCGTGTGTCTCTGCGTGTGTGTCTCTGTGCGTGTCTCTGTGCGAGTGTCTCTGTGCGGGTGTCTCTGTGCCAGTGTCTCTCTGTGTCTCCGTGCGTGTGTATGTCTCTGTGCGTGCGTCTCTGTGCGAGCGTCTCTGTGCGGGTGTCTCTGTGTGTGTCTCTGTGCGAGTGTCTCTGTGCGTGTCTCTGTGCGTGTGTCTCTGTGCGGGTGTCTCTGTGCGTGTGTCTCTGTGCGTCTCTGTGTGGGTGTCTCTGTGTGGGTGTCTCTGTGTGTGTCTCTGTGTGCGTGCGTCTGTGTGCATGCGTCTCTGTGCGGGTGTCTCTGTGTGTGTCTCTGTGCGTGTCTCTGTGCGTGTCTCTCTGTGCGTGTGTCTCTGTGCGTGTGTCTCTGTGCGTGCGTCTCTGTGCGTGTCTCTGTGCGTGTCTCTGTGTGTGTCTCTGTGTGTCTCTGTGCGTCTGTCTCTGTGCGTGGGGAGCGGTAGTGTAGCGGTTAGCGCTATGCTGCGCTATGAACCTAGCGACCCGGGGTTCGATTCCCACTCTCGGCCGATACCGGTGACGATTATCTGAACCGGTCCCGAGCCTCCCCTAGGTCGACTCAGCCTCAAATGAGTACCTGGTGCGGTGTGTAAACATCGCCACTGGGGAGACAAAGGCGGTCGGGCGTGGTGCTTGCCACCCACCCCCTCGTGTGCCGTGCCGGCCTTCATAGGTGCTCGCTAACAGCACTTGCCCCTACAGTCTGTTAAGGCTATGAGGGAGATATTTGTCTCTGTATGTGTGTGTCTGTCTCTACATATCTGCGTGTCTCTGTGTGTCTCTCTCTACATATCTGTGTGTGTCTCTGTGTCTCTCTCTACACATCTGTGTCTCTGTGTGTCTCTCGCTACATATCTGTGTGTCTGTGTCTCTCTCTACATATCTGTGTCTCTCTCTGTGTGTCTCTCTCTACATATCTGTGTGTGTCTCTCTCTACATATCTGTGTCTCTGTGTCTCTCTCTACATATCTGTGTCTCTCTCTCTGTGTCTCTCTCTACATATCTGTGTGTGTGTCTCTGTGTGTCTCTCTCTACATATCTGTGTGTGTGTGTCCTGTGTGTCTCTCTCTACACATCTGTATGTGTGTGTGTGTCCTCTGTGTCTCTCTCTACATATCTGTGTGTGTGCGTCTGTGTGTCTCTCTCTACACATCTGTGTGTCTCTGTGTCTCTCTCTCTACATATGTGTCTCTCTCTACACATCTGTGTGTGTCTCTGTCTCTCTCTCTACATATCTGTGTGTGTGTGTCCTCTGTGTGTCTCTCTCTCTACATATCTGTGTGTGTGTCTCTGTGTGTCTCTCTCTACATATCTGTGTGTGTGTCCTCTGTGTGTCTCGCTCTACATATCTGTGTGTGTGCGTCTCTGTGTCTCTCTCTACACATCTGTGTGCGTCTCTGTGTCTCTCTCTCTACATGTGTCTCTCTCTCTACATGTGTCTCTCTCTATATATCTGTGTGTGCTTCTCTGTGTGTCTCTGTACACATCTGTATGTGTGTCCTCTGTGTGTCTCTCTCTACATATTTGTACGTGTGTGTCTCTGTGTGTCTGCGCGCGTGTGCGTGCGTATCTGCGCGTGTGTGCGTGCGTGTCTGCGCGTGCGTGTGTCTGTGCGCGTGTCTGCGCGTGTCTGCGTGTGTGTCTGTGCGTGCGTGCGTGTGTGCGCGTGTCTGCGTGTGTGTGTGCGTGTGTCTGCGCGTGCGTGCGTGTCTGCGCGTGCGTGTGTGTGTGTGCGTGCCACCGCAGGGCCTGAGGGCCAACATGACGCGTCTCTACAGCCTGGTGACGGAGCCGCAGTTCTCGTCACGTCCCCAGGCCTACCGGCGCCTCCTCTTCGCGCTCTGCTTCTTCCACAGCCTCCTCGTGGAGCGCCGCAAGTTCCGGCAGCTGGGCTGGAACGTCGTCTACGGATTCAACGACTCCGACTTTGAGGTGCGCGGCTCCTGCTCGTCGTCGTGAGCGTCGTCAGCGTCGTCATCTTCACCTTCGTCACCGTCATCGTCGTCGTCATCATCATCGTCGTCGTCATCTTCACCGTCATCGTCGTCGTCATCATCATTGTCATCGTTGTCATCTTCACCTTTGTCATCGTCGTCATCTTCACCTTCGTCATCGTCATCATTGTCATCATTGTCATCATCATCTTCACCGTCATCGTCGTCATCAGTCGTCGTCGTCATCGTCGTCATCTTCACCTTCGTCATCATTGTCGTCGTCATCATCGTCATCATCGTCATCATCATTGTCACCTTCGTCATCATTGTCATCATCGTCGTCATCTTCACCGTCATCGTCGTCATCATCATCATTGTCATCATCGTCATCATCATTGTCATCGTCATCTTCACCGTCATCATCGTCGTCATCATCATTGTCGTCATCGTCATCTTCACCGTCATCGTCGTCATCATCATTGTCATCATCTTCACCGTCATCATCATTGTCGTCGTCATCGTCATCTTCACCGTCGTCATCGTCATCATTGTCGTCGTCATCATCATTGTCACCTTCGTCATCGTCATCATTGTCATCATCGTCGTCATCTTCACCATCATCGTCGTCATCATTGTCATCGTCATCTTCACCGTCATCATCGTCGTCATCATCATTGTCGTCGTCATCGTCATCTTCACCGTCATCGTCGTCATCATCATTGTCATCGTCATCTTCACCGTCATCATCGTCATCGTCATCTTCACCGTCATCATCGTCGTCATCATCGTCGTCGTCGTCATCTTCACCGTCATCATCGTCGTCGTCACCAAGACAATGCCATCGTCATATATCACGATCAGAGAATGTTTTAGGTGCGGTTAATGCGGAACAGGATTCCCTTCCACCAAGGTTTCCGTTTGGCAGTTCTCTCGACCTGCTTCGGCTTTTCAATATTTTTATTTTCCTGCTGTGGTTGTCCCACCTGATGCAGCTCCCTTGTGTTGCCACCGCGATTTGATTTCCACCCACGTGACCTTTCAGGCGAGAGGGCCATTCACCTCACCTCACCTCGCCGCGGCCCGACGGGAGGTTTTTCCCGCCCGGCGTTTCAAACGTCTCGGCGCTTGTGAACGCCGTTTCACTCGCCTGCGAAGGGGTCAGACCTACGGCTGTACCCTGGCGGGCGGCAAAGGAGAGGGTCCCGGCGTTTTAGAACCTCCTCCTCCTCCTCCTCGTCCGCCAGGTGTCGGAGAGCCTGCTGAGCCTGTACCTGGACGAGTGCGAAGAGGTGCCGTGGGACGCACTGCGCTACCTCGTCGCCAGCATCAGCTACGGAGGGCACGTGACGGACGATTGGGACCGCCGGCTGCTCACCGCTTACATCGGGGGCCTCTTCTGTGAGCAGGCGGTGAGCGCACCCTACTACAGGTGAGCGGGCCCTACTACAGGTGAGCACACCCTACTACAGGTGAGCGGGCCCTACTACAGGTGAGCACGCCCTACTACAGGTGAGCGGGCCCTACTACAGGTGAGCACACCCTACTACAGGTGAGCGGGCCCTACTACAAGTGAGCACACCCTACTACAGGTGAGCGGGCCCTACTACAGGTGAGCACACCCTACTACAGGTGAGCACACCCTACTACAGGTGAGCGGGCCCTACTACAGGTGAGCACACCCTACTACAGGTGAGCGGGCCCTACTACAGGTGAGCACACCCTACTACAGGTGAGCAGGCCCTACTACAGGTGAGCACGCCCTACTACAGGTGAGCGGGCCCTACTACAGGTGAGCGGGCCCTACTACAGGTGAGCGGGCCCTACTACAGGTGAGCACGCCCTACTACAGGTGAGCGGGCCCTACTACAGGTGAGCACACCCTACTACAGGTGAGCGGGCCCTACTACAGGTGAGCACGCCCTACTACAGGTGAGCGCACCCTACTACAGGTGAGCGGGCCCTACTACAGGTGAGCACACCCTACTACAGGTGAGCGGGCCCTACTACAAGTGAGCACACCCTACTACAGGTGAGCAGGCCCTACTACAAGTGAGCACACCCTACTACAGGTGAGCGGGCCCTACTACAGGTGAGCGGGCCCTACTACAGGTGAGCGGGCCCTACTACAGGTGAGCACACCCTGCTACAGGTGAGCACGCCCTACTACAGGTGAGCGGGCCCTACTACAGGTGAGCACGCCCTACTACAGGTGAGCGCACCCTACTACAGGTGAGCGGGCCCTACTACAGGTGAGCACACCCTACTACAGGTGAGCGGGCCCTACTACAGGTGAGCACACCCTACTACAGGTGAGCACGCCCTACTACAGGTGAGCAGGCCCTACTACAGGTGAGCACACCCTACTACAGGTGAGCACGCCCTACTACAGGTGAGCACGCCCTACTACAGGTGAGCACGCCCTACTACAGGTGAGCACACCCTACTACAAGTGAGCACACCCTATTACAGGTGAGCGGGCCCTACTACAGGTGAGCGGGCCCTACTACAGGTGAGCACACCCTACTACAGGTGAGCACGCCCTACTACAGGTGAGCACACCCTACTACAGGTGAGCGGGCCCTACTACAGGTGAGCGGGCCCTACTACAGGTGAGCACGCCCTACTACAGGTGAGCACACCCTACTACAGGTGAGCGGGCCCTACTACAGGTGAGCGCACCCTACTACAGGTGAGCGGGCCCTACTACAGGTGAGCACACCCTACTACAAGTGAGCACACCCTATTACAGGTGAGCGGGCCCTACTACAGGTGAGCGGGCCCTACTACAGGTGAGCACACCCTACTACAGGTGAGCGGGCCCTACTACAGGTGAGCACACCCTACTACAGGTGAGTGCGCCCTACTACAGGTGAGCGGGCCCTACTACAGGTGAGCACACCCTACTACAGGTGAGCACACCCTACTACAGGTGAGCACACCCTACTACAGGTGAGCGGGCCCTACTACAGGTGAGCACACCCTACTACAGGTGAGCGGGCCCTACTACAGGTGAGCGGGCCCTACTACAGGTGAGCACACCCTACTACAGGTGAGCGGGCCCTACTACAGGTGAGCGGGCCCTACTACAGGTGAGCGCACCCTACTACAGGTGAGCACACCCTACTACAGGTGAGCACACCCTACTACAGGTGAGCGGGCCCTACTACAGGTGAGCACACCCTGCTACAGGTGAGCACACCCTACTACAGGTGAGCAGGCCCTACTACAGGTGAGCACACCCTACTACAGGTGAGCACACCCTACTACAGGTGAGCACGCCCTACTACAGGTGAGCACGCCCTACTACAGGTGAGCACACCCTACTACAGGTGAGCACACCCTACTACAGGTGAGCACACCCTACTACAGGTGAGCGCACCCTACTACAGGTGAGCGCGCCCTACTACAGGTGAGCGCGCCCTACTACAGGTGAGCGCGCCCTACTACAGGTGAGCGCACCCTACTACAGGTGAGCGCACCCTACTACAGGTGAGCGCACCCTACTACAGGTGAGCGCACCCTACTACAGGTGAGCGCACCCTACTACAGGTGAGCACACCCTACTACAGGTGAGCACACCCTACTACAGGTGAGCACACCCTACTACAGGTGAGCACGCCCTACTACAGGTGAGCACACCCTATTACAGGTGAGCACGCCCTACTACAGGTGAGCACACCCTACTACAGGTGAGCACACCCTACTACAGGTGAGCACACCCTACTACAGGTGAGCACGCCCTACTACAGGTGAGCACGCCCTACTACAGGTGAGCACACCCTACTACAGGTGAGCGGGCCCTACTACAGGTGAGCGCACCCTACTACAGGTGAGCACACCCTACTACAGGTGAGCACACCCTACTACAGGTGAGCACACCCTACTACAGGTGAGCACACCCTACTACAGGTGAGCACGCCCTACTACAGGTGAGCACACCCTACTACAGGTGAGCACACCCTACTACAGGTGAGCACACCCTACTACAGGTGAGCACGCCCTACTACAGGTGAGCACGCCCTACTACAGGTGAGCACACCCTATTACAGGTGAGCACGCCCTACTACAGGTGAGCACACCCTACTACAGGTGAGCAGGCCCTACTACAGGTGAGCACACCCTACTACAGGTGAGCGGGCGACGTGGGCAGCCGCCGCGGTCGTCACCGCCATCGTCACCGTCACCGCCATGAACGCCACCATCACCATCGTCATCGCCATGAACACCATCGCCATCGTCACCGCCATCGTCACCGCCATCGCCATGAACACCACCATCACCATCGTCACCGCCATGACCGCCATCGCCATGACCGCCATCACCACCGTCACCGCCATGAACACCACCATCACCATCTTCACCGCCATCGTCACCGCCATCATCACCGCCATCATCACCGCCATCGACCCCGTCACCGCCATGAACACCACCATCACCATCGTCACCGCCATGAACACCATCGCCACCGTCACCACCATGAACGCCACCATCACCATCGTCACCGCCATCGTCACCGCCATTATCACCGCCATCATCACCGCCATCACCATCGCCATGACCGCCATGAACACCACCATCACCATTGTCACCGCCATCGCCATGACCACCATCGCCATGACCACCATCGCCATGAACACCACCATCGCCACTGTCACCGCCACAAACACCACCATCACCATCGTCACTGACATGAACACCACCATCACCATCGCAACCTCCGCCGTCACCGCCGCCATCATCACCGCCACCATCATCACCGCCATCACAATCTCCACTGTCACCGCCACCCACCGCCACTATCACCACCATTATCACCACCACCACCATCACCACCATCACCATCACAACCTCCACCGTCACCGCCACCGCCGCTACCACGTGCCGCGCGACGGCGACAGTATCGGTGACGGTGTCGGTATCGGTGTCGGTATCGGTGACGGTATCGGTGACGACGACGGTATCGGTGACGGTATCGGTGACGACGGTATCGGTGTCGGTGACGATGACGGTATCGGTGACGGTATCGGTGACGATATCGGTGACGGTATCGGTGACGATATCGGTGACGGTATCGATGACGGTATCGGTGACGGTATCGGTGACGATGACGGTATCGGTGACGGTATCGGTGACGATGACGGTATCGGTGACGGTATCGGTGACGGCGACGGTATCGGTGACGGTATCGGTGACGGTATCGGTGACGGTATCGGTGACGGTATCGGTGACGATGACGGTATCGGTGACGGTATCGGTGACGGTATCGGTGACGATGACGGTATCGGTGACGGTGTCGGTGACGGTATCGGTGACGGTATCGGTGACGGTGACGGTATCGGTGACGATGACGGTATCGGTGACGGTATCGGTGACGGTATCGGTGACGATGACGGTGTCGGTGACGGTATCGGTGACGGTATCGGTGACGGTGACGGTATCGGTGACGATGACGGTATCGGTGACGGTGACGGTATCGGTGACGGTATCGGTGACGGTGACGGTATCGGTGACGATGACGGTATCGGTGACGGTGTCGGTGACGGTATCGGTGACGGTGACGGTATCGGTGACGATGACGGTATCGGTGACGGTGACGGTATCGGTGACGGTATCGGTGACGATGACGGTATCGGTGACGGTATCGGTGACGGTGACGGTATCGGTGACGGTATCGGTGACGGTATCGGTGACGACGTCGGCGTCGCCCGCAGGCTGTCGTCGCTGGAGTCGTACTACGTGCCGCGCGACGGGCCCCTGCCGGCGTACCGCGACTTTGCGGCGCTGCTCCCGCACGCCGACCACGCCGAGGCGTTTGGCCAGCACCCCAACGCGGACGTGGCCGGCCAGGCGGCCGAGACGCGCGCCCTGCTCGGCACGCTGCTCGGCCTGCAGCCGGGAGCCGGCGACTCCTCCGGCGACTCCTCCTCCGGCGACGCCGACGCCGACGCCGACGCCGTGCACGGCCAGCGTGCCGGGGAGGCGGTGTTGTCGCGCGAGGACAAGGTGCTCACGCACCTACACCGCTCACAGCAGTGGGGCGAGTGTGTGTGTTGAGTGTGTGTTGAGAGTGTGTGTTGAGAGTGTGTGTTGAGTGTGTGTGTTGAGTGTGTGTTGAGTGTGTGTTGAGTGTGTGTTGAGTGTGTGCTGAGTGTGTGTTGAGTGCGTGTTGAGTGCGTGTTGAGTGTGTGTTGAGTGTGTGCTGAGTGTGTGCTGAGTGTGTGTTGAGTGTGTGTTGAGTGCGTGTTGAGTGTGTGTTGAGTGTGTGTTGAGTGTGTGTTGAGTGTGTGTTGAGTGCGTGTTGAGTGTGTGTTGAGAGTGTGTGTTGAGTGTGTGTGTTGAGTGTGTGTGTTGAGTGTGTTGAGTGTGTGTTGAGTGTGTGTTGAGTGTGTGCTGAGTGTGTGTGTTGAGTGCGTGCTGAGTGCGTGTTGAGTGCGTGTTGAGTGTTGAGTGTGTGTTGAGTGTGTGTTGAGTGTGTGTTGAGTGTTGAGTGTGCTGAGTGCGTGTTGAGTGCGTGTTGAGTGTTGAGTGTGTGTTGAGTGTGTGTTGAGTGTTGAGTGTGCTGAGTGTGTGCTGAGTGTGTGTTGAGTGTGTGTTGAGTGCGTGTTGAGTGTGTTGAGTGTGTGTTGAGTGTGTGCTGAGTGTGTGTTGAGTGTGTGTTGAGTGTGTGCTGAGTGTGTGTTGAGTGTGTGTTGAGTGTGTGCTGAGTGTGTGTGTTGAGTGTGTGTGTTGAGTGCGTGTTGAGTGTGTGCTGAGTGTGTGTTGAGTGCGTGTTGAGTGTGTGTTGAGTGCGTGTTGAGTGTGTGTTGAGAGTGTGTGTTGAGTGTGTGTGTTGAGTGTGTGTGTTGAGTGTGTTGAGTGTGTGTTGAGTGTGTGTTGAGTGTGTGCTGAGTGTGTGTGTTGAGTGCGTGCTGAGTGCGTGTTGAGTGCGTGTTGAGTGTTGAGTGTGTGTTGAGTGTGTGTTGAGTGTGTGTTGAGTGTTGAGTGTGCTGAGTGTGTGTTGAGTGCGTGTTGAGTGCGTGTTGAGTGTTGAGTGTGTGTTGAGTGTGTGTTGAGTGTTGAGTGTGCTGAGTGTGTGCTGAGTGTGTGTTGAGTGTGTGTTGAGTGCGTGTTGAGTGTGTTGAGTGTGTGTTGAGTGTGTGCTGAGTGTGTGTTGAGTGTGTGTTGAGTGTGTGCTGAGTGTGTGTTGAGTGTGTGTTGAGTGTGTGTTGAGTGTGTGTTGAGTGTGTGCTGAGTGTGTGCTGAGTGTGTGCTGAGTGTGTGTTGAGTGTGTGTTGAGTGTGTGTTGAGTGTGTGTTGAGTGTGTGTTGAGTGCGTGCTGAGTGCGTGCTGAGTGCGTGTTGAGTGTGTGTTGAGTGCGTGTTGAGTGTGTTGAGTGCGTGTTGAGTGTGTTGAGTGTGTGTTGAGTGTGTGTTGAGTGCGTGTTGAGTGCGTGCTGAGTGCGTGTTGAGTGCGTGTTGAGTGTTGAGTGTGTGTTGAGTGTGTGTTGAGTGTTGAGTGTGCTGAGTGTGTGCTGAGTGTGTGCTGAGTGTGTGTTGAGTGCGTGTTGAGTGTGTTGAGTGTGTGTTGAGTGTGTGTTGAGTGTGTTGAGTGTGTGTTGAGTGCGTGTTGAGTGCGTGTTGAGAGTGTGTGTTGAGTGTGTGTGTTGAGTGTGTGTGTTGAGTGTGTTGAGTGTGTGTTGAGTGTGTGTTGAGTGTGTGCTGAGTGTGTGTGTTGAGTGCGTGCTGAGTGCGTGTTGAGTGCGTGTTGAGTGTTGAGTGTGTGTTGAGTGTGTGTTGAGTGTGTGTTGAGTGTTGAGTGTGCTGAGTGTGTGTTGAGTGCGTGTTGAGTGCGTGTTGAGTGTTGAGTGTGTGTTGAGTGTGTGTTGAGTGTTGAGTGTGCTGAGTGTGTGCTGAGTGTGTGTTGAGTGTGTGTTGAGTGCGTGTTGAGTGTGTTGAGTGTGTGTTGAGTGTGTGTTGAGTGTGTGCTGAGTGTGTGTTGAGTGTGTGTTGAGTGTGTGTTGAGTGTGTGTTGAGTGTGTGTTGAGTGTGTGCTGAGTGTGTGCTGAGTGTGTGCTGAGTGTGTGTTGAGTGTGTGTTGAGTGTGTGTTGAGTGTGTGTTGAGTGTGTGTTGAGTGCGTGCTGAGTGCGTGCTGAGTGCGTGCTGAGTGTGTGCTGAGTGTGTGTTGAGTGCGTGTTGAGTGTGTTGAGTGCGTGTTGAGTGTGTTGAGTGTGTGTTGAGTGTGTGTTGAGTGCGTGTTGAGTGCGTGCTGAGTGCGTGTTGAGTGCGTGTTGAGTGTTGAGTGTGTGTTGAGTGTGTGTTGAGTGTTGAGTGTGCTGAGTGTGTGCTGAGTGTGTGCTGAGTGTGTGTTGAGTGCGTGTTGAGTGTGTTGAGTGTGTGTTGAGTGTGTGTTGAGTGTGTGTTGAGTGTGTTGAGTGTGTGTTGAGTGTGTGTTGAGTGTGTGCTGAGTGTGTGTTGAGTGTGTGTTGAGTGTGTTGAGTGTGTGTTGAGTGTGTGCTGAGTGTGTGCTGAGTGTGTGTTGAGTGTGTGTTGAGTGTGTTGAGTGTGTGCTGAGTGCGTGTTGAGTGCGTGTTGAGTGTGTTGAGTGCGTGTTGAGTGTGTGTTGAGTGTGTGTTGAGTGTGTTCTGAGTGTGTGTTGAGTGTGTGTTGAGTGTGTGCTGAGTGTGTGTGTTGAGTGTGTGTTGAGTGTGTGTGTTGAGTGCGTGTTGAGTGTGTGCTGAGTGTGTGTTGAGTGCGTGTTGAGTGTGTGTTGAGTGCGTGTTGAGTGTGTGTTGAGAGTGTGTGTTGAGTGTGTGTGTTGAGTGTGTGTGTTGAGTGTGTTGAGTGTGTGTTGAGTGTGTGTTGAGTGTGTGCTGAGTGTGTGTGTTGAGTGCGTGCTGAGTGCGTGTTGAGTGCGTGTTGAGTGTTGAGTGTGTGTTGAGTGTGTGTTGAGTGTGTGTTGAGTGTTGAGTGTGCTGAGTGTGTGTTGAGTGCGTGTTGAGTGCGTGTTGAGTGTTGAGTGTGTGTTGAGTGTGTGTTGAGTGTTGAGTGTGCTGAGTGTGTGCTGAGTGTGTGCTGAGTGTGTGTTGAGTGTGTGTTGAGTGCGTGTTGAGTGTTGAGTGTGTGTTGAGTGTGTGTTGAGTGTGTGTTGAGTGTTGAGTGTGCTGAGTGTGTGCTGAGTGTGTGCTGAGTGTGTGTTGAGTGCGTGTTGAGTGTGTTGAGTGTGTGTTGAGTGTGTGCTGAGTGTGTGTTGAGTGTGTGTTGAGTGTGTGCTGAGTGTGTGTTGAGTGTGTGCTGAGTGTGTGTTGAGTGTGTGTTGAGTGTGTGTTGAGTGTGTGTTGAGTGTGTGCTGAGTGTGTGCTGAGTGTGTGTTGAGTGTGTGTTGAGTGTGTGTTGAGTGTGTGCTGAGTGTGTGTTGAGTGCGTGTTGAGTGTGTTGAGTGCGTGTTGAGTGTGTGTTGAGTGTGTGCTGAGTGTGTGTTGAGTGCGTGTTGAGTGTGTTGAGTGCGTGTTGAGTGTGTGCTGAGTGTGTGTTGAGTGCGTGTTGAGTGTGTTGAGTGTGTGTTGAGTGTGTGTTGAGTGTGTGTGTTGAGTGTGTGTTGAGTGTGTGTGTTGAGTGTGTTGAGTGTGTGTTGAGTGTGTGTTGAGTGTGTGTTGAGTGTGTGTTGAGTGTGTGTTGAGTGTGTGTTGAGTGTGTGTTGAGTGTGTGCTGAGTGTGTGCTGAGTGTGTGTGTTGAGTGCGTGCTGAGTGTGTGTTGAGTGTTGAGTGTGTGTTGAGTGTGTGTTGAGTGCGTGTTAAGTGCGTGTTGAGTGCGTGTTGAGTGTGTGTTGAGTGTGTGTTGAGTGTTGAGTGTGCTGAGTGTGTTGAGTGTGTGTTGAGTGTGTGCTGAGTGTGTGTTGAATGTGTTGAGTGTGTGTTGAGTGCGTGTTGAGTGTTGAGTGTGTGTTGAGTGTGTGTTGAGTGTGTGTTGAGTGTGTGTGTTGAGTGTGTTGAGTGTGTGTTGAGTGTGTGTTGAGTGTGTGCTGAGTGTGTGTGTTGAGTGCGTGCTGAGTGTGTGTTGAGTGCGTGTTGAGTGCGTGTTGAGTGCGTGTTGAGTGTGTGTTGAGTGTGTGCTGAGTGTGTGTTGAGTGTGTGTTGAGTGTGTGCTGAGTGTGTGTTGAGTGTGTGTTGAGTGTGTGTTGAGTGTGTGTTGAGTGCGTGTTGAGTGCGTGTTGAGTGTGTTGAGTGTGTGTTGAGTGTGTGTTGAGTGTGTGTTGAGTGTGTGTGTTGAGTGTGTGTGTTGAGTGTGTTGAGTGTGTGTTGAGTGTGTGTTGAGTGTGTGCTGAGTGTGTGTGTTGAGTGTGTGCTGAGTGTTGAGTGCGTGCTGAGTGTTGAGTGTGTGTTGAGTGTTGAGTGTGTGTTGAGTGTGTGTTGAGTGTTGAGTGTGTGTTGAGTGTTGAGTGTGTGTTGAGTGTGTGTTGAGTGTTGAGTGTGTTGAGTGTGTGTTGAGTGTGTGCTGAGTGTGTGTTGAGTGCGTGTTGAGTGTGCTGAGTGTGTGTTGAGTGTGTGCTGAGTGTGTGTTGAGTGTGTGCTGAGTGTGTGTTGAGTGTGTGTTGAGTGTGTGTTGAGTGTGTGCTGAGTGTGTGCTGAGTGTGTGTTGAGTGTGTGCTGAGTGTGTGTTGAGTGTGTGTTGAGTGTGTGTTGAGTGTGTGTTGAGTGCGTGTTGAGTGCGTGTTGAGTGCGTGTTGAGTGCGTGTTGAGTGCGTGCTGAGTGCGTGCTGAGTGCGTGCTGAGTGTGTGTTGAGTGTGTGCTGAGTGTGTGTTGAGTGTGTGCTGAGTGTGTTGAGTGTGTGTGTTGAGTGTGTGTTGAGTGTGTGCTGAGTGTGTGCTGAGTGTGTGTTGAGTGTGTTGAGTGTGTGTGTTGAGTGTGTGTTGTGTGTGTGTTGAGTGTGTGTGTTGAGTGTGTGTTGAGTGTGTGTTGAGTGTGTGCTGAGTGTGTGTTGAGTGTGTGCTGAGTGTGTTGAGTGTGTGTTGAGTGTGTTGAGTGTGTGTTGAGTGTGTGTTGAGTGTGTGTTGAGTGTGTGTTGAGTGTGTGTTGAGTGTGTGCTGCGTGTGTGTTGAGTGTGTTGAGTGTGTTGAGTGTGTGTTGAGTGTGTGTTGAGTGTGTGCTGAGTGTGTGTTGAGTGTGTGTTGAGTGTGTGCTGAGTGTGTGCTGAGTGTGTGTTGAGTGTGTGTGTTGAGTGTGTGTTGAGTGTGTGTGTTGAGTGTGTGTTGAGTGTGTGTTGAGTGTGTGTTGAGTGTGTGCTGAGTGTGTGCTGAGTGTGTGCTGAGTGTGTGTTGAGTGTGTGCTGAGTGTGTGTTGAGTGTGTGCTGAGTGTGTGTTGAGTGTGTGTTGAGTGTGTGTTGAGTGTGTGCTGAGTGTGTGTTGAGTGTGTGCTGAGTGTGTTGAGTGTGTGTTGAGTGTGTGTTGAGTGTGTGTTGAGTGTGTGCTGCGTGTGTGCTGAGTGTGTGTTGAGTGTGTTGAGTGTGTGTTGAGTGTGTGTTGAGTGTGTGTTGAGTGTGTGTTGAGTGTGTGTTGAGTGTGTGTTGAGTGTGTGCTGAGTGTGTTGAGTGTGTGTGTTGAGTGTGTGTTGAGTGTGTGTTGAGTGTGTGTTGAGTGTTTGTTGAGTGTGTGTTGAGTGTGTGCTGAGTGTGTGCTGAGTGTGTGTTGAGTGTGTTGAGTGTGTGTGTTGAGTGTGTGCTGAGTGTGTGCTGAGTGTGTGTTGAGTGTGTGTTGAGTGTGTGTTGAGTGTGTGTTGAGTGTGTGTTGAGTGTGTGTTGAGTGTGTGCTGAGTGTGTTGAGTGTGTGTGTTGAGTGTGTGTGTTGAGTGTGTGTTGAGTGTGTGTTGAGTGTGTGTTGAGTGTGTGCTGAGTGTGTGCTGAGTGTGTTGAGTGTGTGTGTTGAGTGTGTGTTGAGTGTGTGCTGTGTGTATGCTGAGTGTGTGCTGCGTGTGTGCTGTGTGCTGCGTGTGTGCTATGTGCTGAGTGTATGCTACGTGCTGTGTGCTGCGTGTGTGTGTGTGCTGCGTGCTGTGTGCTGCGTGCTGTGTGCCGCAGGTGCTGGCGCTGGTGGTGGACGTGGCACTGCGCGTGTGCTGCGTGCTGAGTGTGTGCTGTGTGCTGAGTGTGTGCTGTGTGCTGAGTGTGTGCTGTGTGCTGAGTGTGTGCTGTGTGCTGAGTGTGTGCTGCGTGCTGTGTGCTGCGTGCTGTGTGCCGCAGGTGCTGGCGCTGGTGGTGGACGTGGCGCTGCGCGTGTGCTGAGTGTGTGCTGCGTGTGTGCTATGTGCTGAGTGTGTGCTGCATGCTGTGTGCCGAGTGTGTGCTGCATGCTGTGTGCTGCGTGTGTGCTGAGTGTGTGCTATGTGCTGAGTGTGTGCTGCATGCTGTGTGCTGAGTGTGTGCTGAGTGTGTGCTGTGTGCTGAGTGTATGCTGTGCTATGTGCTGTGTGTGTGCTGAGTGTGTGCTACGTGCTGCGTGCTGTGTGCTGCGTGTGTGTGTGTGCTGCGTGCTGTGTGCCGCAGGTGCTGGCGCTGGTGGTGGACGTGGCGCTGCGCGTGTGCTGCGTGTGTGCTGTGTGCTGAGTGTGTGCTGCGTGCTGTGTGCTGCGTGCTGTGTGCTATGTGCTGAGTGTGTGCTGAGTGTGTGCTGTGTGTATGCTGCGTGTATGCTGTGTGTGTGCTGCGTGCTGTGTGCCGCAGGTGCTGGCGCTGGTGGCGGACGTGGCGCTGCGCGTGCCCCCGCCGCTGGACGTGGAGCGCTGTCGCCGGCAGCTGTCGGACGAAGCCCCCCGCTGGGCTCCACTGGGGGCCGTGCTGCTGCAGGAGATGGGGCGCTACAACGCGCTGCTACACACCGTGCGGTGGGTGGTGGTGTGGTGGTGGTGTGGTGGTGTGGTGGGTGGGTGGGTGTGGTGAGTGGGTGGGTGGGTGTGTGGGTGGGTGGGTGGGTGAGTGGGCAAGTGTGTGGGTGGGTGTGTGGGTTGTGTGAGTGGGTTGGTGTGTGAGTGGGTGGGTGTGTGAGTGGGTGAGTGTGTGGATGAGTGTGTGGGTGAGTGGGCAAGTGTGTGGGTGGGTGTGTGGGTTGTGTGAGTGGGTTGGTGTGTGAGTGGGTGGGTGTTTGAGTGGGTGGGTGTGTGGATGAGTGTGGGTGAGTGGGCAAGTGTGTGGGTGGGTGGGCGGGTGCGTGAGTGGGTGGGTGTGTGGGTGGGTGGGTGAGTGGGTGGGTTGGTGTGTGAGTGGGTGGGTGGGTGAGTGTAGAGTGGGTGTGTGAGTGAGTGGGTGAGTATGTGGGTGAGTGTGTGGGTGAGTGTATGGGTGTATGTGTGGGTGGGTGGTGTGTGGGTGAGTGGGTGTGTGGGTGGGTGTATGTGTGGGTGTGTGGGTAGGTGAGTGGGTGCGTGGGTGTGTGAGTGGGTGAGTGTGTGGGTGGGTGGGTGTGTGAGTGGGTGGGTGTGTGAGTGAGTGTGTGTGAGTGTGTGGGTGTATGTGAGTGTGTGTGTCTGTGTGAGTGAGTGTGTGTATGTTAGAGTGTGTGGGTGAGTGTGTGTCTGTGTGAGTGTGTATGTGTATGTGAGAGTGTGTGAGTGTGTGTGTGAGTGTGTGAGTGAGTGTGTGTGTGAGTGTGTGTGTATGTGAGAGTGTGTATGTGAGAGTGTGTGTGTGTATGTGTGAGTATGTGTGTATGTGTGTGTATGTGTGTATGTGAGAGTGTATGTGAGAGTGTGTGTGTATGTGAGAGTGTGTGTGTGTGCGAGTGTGTGGGTGTGTGTATGTGTGGGTGTGTGTGTGAGTGTGAGTGTATGTGTGTGTATGTGTGTGTATGTGTGTATGTGAGAGTGTATGTGAGTGTGTGTGTGTATGTGAGAGTGTGAGAGTGTGTGTGTATGTGAGAGTGTGTGTGTGTGTGTGCGAGTGTGTGGGTGTGTGTATGTGTGGGTGTGTGTGTGAGTGTGAGTGTATGTGAGAGTGTGTGTGTATGTGTGTATGTCTGTATGTGAGAGTGTGTGAGTGTGAGTGGGAGCGATAGTGTAGCGGTTAGCGCGCTGCGCTATGAACCTGGCGACACGGGTTCGATTCCCGCTCACGGCCAACACCAGTGACGATTATCTGAACCGGTCCCGGGCCTCCCCTAGGTCGACTCAGCCTCAAATGAGTACCTGGTGCGGTGTGTAAACATCGCCACTAGGGAGACAAAGGCGGTCGGGCGTGGTGCTGGCCACCCACCCCCTCGTGTACCGTTCTGGCCTTCATAGGTGCTCGCTAACAGCACTTGCCCCTACAGTCTGTTACAGGCTATATGGGGGATCTTTGTCTTTGTATGTGTGTATGTCTGTATGTGAGAGTGTGTGAGTGTGTGTGTATGTGAGAGTGTATGTGTGAGTATGTGTGAGTGTGTATGAGAGTGTGTGAGTGTATGTGAGAGAGTGTGTGTGTGTGAGTGGGTGTGCAAGTTGGCACAGTAGCCAGCACACGTGATCTCAGTCGGTCGACCCGTGGCACCCGCTGGGTCTGCCCCGTGACCTCCTCCTCCTCCTCCTGCCGGCGGGCGGTTCGACACTTCACGTGGCAGCCTCGGCATGCACCCAGCCTGGCACGGGCACCGTGGTGACGTCACCGCCACTTGTTGTTGTTGCATGTGGTTTGGGTCTAACCCCCACCCGTACCCCCTGCAGCTCATCGCTCTCCGACCTGGAGCGGGGGATCCGGGGCCTGGTGGTGATGTCGGCCCACCTCGAGGAGACCTTCAGATGCATCCACGACCTCCGTGTGCCACCCTCCTGGACACGGGTCAGCCCCCCCCCCACTCCCCCGCTGTGTGTGTGTGTGTCTGTGTGTGAGTCTGTGTGTGTGTGTGTGTGAGAGTGTGTCTGTGTGTGTGAATGTGTCTGTGTGTGTGTGAGAGTGTGTCTGTGTGTGTGTCTGTGTCTGTGTGTGAGAGTGTGTCTGTGTATGTGTGAGAGTGTGTCTGTGTGTGTGAGTCTGTGTGTGTGTGTGAGTCTGTGTGTGTGTGAGAGTGTGTCTGTGTGTGAGAGTGTGTCTGTGTGTGTGTGAGAGTCTGTGTGTGAGTCAGTGTGTGTGTGAGAGTGTGTCTGTGTGTATGTGTGTGTGTGAGTCTGTGTGTGAGTGTGTCTGTGTGTGTGAGTCTGTGTGTGTGTGAGTCTGTGTGTGTGTGAGAGTGTGTCTGTGTGTGTGTGAGTGTGTGTGAGTCTGTGTGTGAGAGTGTGTCTGTGTAAGGGTGTGTGAGTGTGACGTTAGAAGGGAAGCAATAAAATAATAAAAATATAAAACAATAAAATTATTATTCTTGGTTCTTTCGGTAAAGTCACCACCACGTTAGAAGGGAAACAATAAAATAATACAAATATAAAACAATAAAATTCTCACGACGTTTCGACTGCAACACAGGCAGCAATCATCATCAGGTGTGAAAACCACAGCAAGAACAATGTAAAGCATGTTTTAAGCTTCAAATCAAAATGCTTCAAATCACTTTAAGCTATTAGTCATTGTAGTTGCGTATTTAATGTGGCGCTGCACTCTGATGTTGTAGGAGAAAACATGAAAAATTTTGATTTAAAGCTTTCGTGACTGCAGGGATTCATATTCTTGGTTCTTTCGGTAAAGTCACCACCACGTTATAAGGGAAACAATAAAAGAAAAAAAATATAAAACAGTAAAATTCTCACGACGTTTCGACTGCAACACAAGCAGCAATCATCATCAGGTGTGAAAACCACAGCAAGAACAATTTGAAAAAAGTGGCGTTTTTTAAAATTAACGTTACCACCACGGAGAGCGATTTGGCAGTTTGTTCAGATGGACGAGTCCATCTATGTTCGGAAAAGAGGAGGGGGGGAGAGACGAAAATAATGGATGCGGTCTAAGGGCCACCGTAAGCGTGAACAATCAATTAAGACCCGAAATGGTTTATCAAATCCTTCCAATGATTGCTAAGCCAGAATCCATCTTCTCCGTTGTCTCTGTGTTTGTATATGCGGATAGCCTCATGAACGAATCTATCATGGTAGCCAGGTGGCTTGCAAAGAACCTCCGTCTTGTTTTATATTTTTTATTATTTTACTGTTGGCCTTCTACGTGGTGGTGACTTTACCGAAAGAACCAAGAATATGAATCCCTGCAGTCACGAAAGCTTTAAATCAGAATTTTTAATAAATGTTTTCTCCTACAACGTCAGAGTGCAGCGCCACATTAAATACGCAACTACAATGACAATAGTTTAAAGCGATTTGAAGAATTTTGATTTAAAGCTTAAAACATGCTTTACATTTGTTCTTGCTGTGGTTTTCACACCTGATGGTGATTGCTGCTTGTGCTGCAGTCGAAACGTCGTGAGAATTTTACTGTTTTATATTTTTATTATTTTATTGTTTCCCTTCTAACGTGGTGGTGACTTTACCGAAAGAACCAAGAATATGAATCCCTGCAGTCACGAAAGCTTTAAATCAAAAGATCACGTTATGCTTTAGCCATATTTGTTTGTTGTTGTAGTAGTAGTACAGAGTTGGATCGATAACTTTCATCTAAATTGTCTTACGGTCAAATTTTGATTTAAAGCTTTCGTGACTCCAGTGATTAATATTCTTAGCTCTTTCGGTAGAGTCACGTTGAAGGGAAACAATAAAATAATGAAAAATATATAAATATAAAAAATAAAAATGTATATATATTTTATTGTTTCCCTTCAACGTGACTTTACCGAAAGAGCTAAGAATGTCTTACGGTTGTTGTTGTTGTCTGACTTGCATCCCACTAGGATTTTAGTTTTTTTTGCACACAGCTGTTGGTGTACGGTGATTTTTTTCCGGAACGCTTTGCCTGGTCTTTTTTTCCTGGATTTTCCTGTTTTTCCCGTAGTAGTCGCTTCATAAGACGCTTAGCTTGGTTCACGTTATGAGACCTCATTTGCCAGTAACAAGATATAGTAATCGGCTTTTACCCTTTTATCTGGCACAAAAAACTGACACCTTTGTACAAGGGATCATGTTTGCAATAACCACAACACAAGCAGTCAAAATGCAAACAAAAAAAGACAACTCTGATAATGATATTGGCACTGTCCTTTTAGCGTCTTCTGGTCCAACACCAGTGTGAGACTAAGGGCTCTAAGAAAAGCCGTCTCTGGTGTGGACCAATCAAATTCGAGGAGTTGTCTCTTTTTTGTTTGCATTTTTGACTGTTTGTGTTGTGGTTATTGCAAACACGATCCCCCTTGTGTTTGGACGTGTTTGTGTTTGTTGTAGTACGGAGTTAGACTGACGGCCTTAATCTAAAGTTGTCTTGTGGTTGTTGTTGTTGTGGTTGTTGTTTGACTTTGCATCCCACTCGGGATTTTTTTTGCACGCAGCCTTAGTGGTGTACGGTGATTTTTTTTTCCAGGAATATTTTGTTGGTTTTTTTCTCCATGGATTTTCTGTTTTGCACAAAGTCACCACAACGTAGCCACTTTGAGATTGTTTCTCTTGTTCGTGTTTTTTTGTGTGTTTTTTTCGCGTTCCTGTTTGTTGCGGTCGCGCCCGATTCAAGAGCCCAATGGCTCACGGGGCTATCCCAAAAATAAATAAAACTGAAACTGAAACGCGTCCGACCGCCGTCCGCGGGGGGTGGTGGCGGCGGCGGCGGCGGTGGTGGCGGTGGTGACGGTGGTGGTGGTGGTGATGATGGTGGTGATGGTGGTGGTGGTGATGATGATGATGGTGGTGGTGATGGTGGTGGTGGTGATGATGGTGATGGTGGTGGAGATGGTGGTGGTGGTGGTGGTGATGATGGTGGTGGTGATGGTGGTGGTGGTGATGATGGTGATGGTGGTGGAGATGATGGTGGTGGTGATGGTGGTGGTGGTGATGATGGTGGTGGTGATGGTGGTGGTGGTGATGATGGTGATGGTGGTGGAGATGGTGGTGGTGGTGGTGATGATGGTGGTGATGGTGGTGGAGATGATGGTGGTGGTGGTGGTGATGATGGTGATGGTGGTGGTGATGGTGGTGGTGGTGATGATGGTGGTGGTGATGGTGGTGGTGGTGATGATGGTGGTGATGGTGGTGATGGTGGTGGTGGTGATGATGATGATGGTGGTGGTGATGGTGGTGGTGATGATGGTGGTGATGGTGGTGGAGATGATGGTGGTGGTGGTGGTGATGATGGTGATGGTGGTGGTGATGGTGGTGGTGGTGATGATGGTGGTGGTGATGGTGGTGGTGGTGATGATGGTGATGGTGGTGGTGGTGATGATGGTGGTGGTGATGGTGGTGGTGGTGATGATGGTGATGGTGGTGGAGATGGTGGTGGTGGTGGTGATGATGATGGTGATGGTGGTGGAGATGATGGTGGTGGTGGTGATGATGGTGGTGATGGTGGTGGAGATGATGGTGGTGGTGGTGGTGATGATGGTGATGGTGGTGGTGATGGTGGTGGTGGTGATGATGGTGGTGGTGATGGTGGTGGTGGTGATGATGGTGATGGTGGTGGTGGTGATGATGGTGGTGGTGATGGTGGTGGTGGTGATGATGGTGATGGTGGTGGAGATGGTGGTGGTGGTGGTGATGATGGTGATGGTGGTGGTGATGGTGGTGGTGGTGGTGATGATGATGGTGATGGTGGTGGAGATGATGGTGGTGGTGATGGTGGTGGTGGTGATGATGGTGGTGGTGATGGTGGTGGTGGTGATGATGGTGATGGTGGTGGAGATGGTGGTGGTGGTGATGGTGGTGGTGGTGATGATGGTGGTGGAGATGATGGTGGTGGTGATGATGGTGGTGGTGGCGGTGGTGACGGTGGTGGTGGTGGTGGCGGTGGTGGTGGTGGTGGTGGCGGTGGTGGCGGTGACGGCGGTGGTGGTGGTGGCGGTGGTGGTGGTGGTGGTGGTGGCGGTGGTGGTGGTGGTGGAGATGATGGTGGTGGTGGGTGACGGTGGTGTCGGTGGTGGTGTCGGTGGTGACCTCCGCCCCTCCGTGTGAACGCGACACAGGCGTACCCGTCGCTGAAGCCGCTGGGGGCGTGGACGCGGGACCTGGTGCTCCGTGTCGGCCACTTCTCCCGCTGGGCCCAGACGGCCCGGCCCCCGCTCCTCTTCTGGCTGCCGGCCTTCACGCTCCCCGCCGGGTTCCTCGCCGCCGTGCTGCAGGCCTCGGCACGGCTCAACGGCGTGAGCGCTTCGGCGGGGGGGGCGGGGGGGGGGGGCGGGGGGTGGGGGGCGGGGAGGGGCGGGGTGGGGGGGGTGCCTGTCATCGTCGTCGTGATCGTAATCGTCGTGGTCATCATAATTGTTGTCGTCATCGTCGTCATCGTCATCGTCATTATTCTCCGTTGAGAATCAACGTCTCGCGTGTGGAGTGTTCGGCCACTGCTCTGAATGTCCACGTGACGACGACGATGATGATGACGACTATGACGACGACGATGACGACTATGACGACGAAGACGACAATGATGACGACGATGACGACTAAGACGACGACGATAATGATGACGGCGACGATGATGATGATGACGACGACGACGACGATGACATAGATGACGATGGCTACTATGACGACGACGATGACGACAATGATGACGACAATGATGACGACGATGATGACGACGATGACGACTATAACGACGACGATGATGACGACGATGACGACTAAGACGACGACGATAATGATGACGGCGACGATGATGATGATGACGACGACGACGATGACATAGATGACGATGGCTACTATGACGACGACGATGACGACGATGATGACGACAATGATGACGACGATGATGACGACGATGACGACTATAACGACGACGATGATGACGACGATGATGATGACAACGACGATGACGACGATTCTAAGCCGCCACTCCGTGTGAGCTGCGGCCACTCCGTGTGGTGGTCACAGCGTGGCTTCTGACAAAGCAGGAGCTCAGTGGGGCCTTACCCTGATGTGTGTGGAGTAGTGTACTGTGTAGTGTACTGTGTAGTGTGTGTGTAGTGTACTGTGTGTGTGGAGTGTGTGTAGTGTACTGTGTGTGTAGTGTACTGTGTGTGTAGTGTACTGTGTGTGTGTAGTGTACTGTGTGTAGTGTAGTGTACTGTGTGTAGTGTAGTGTACTGTGTGTGTAGTGTAGTGTGTGTGTGTAGTGTACTGTGTGTGTAGTGTAGTGTACTGTGTAGTGTACTGTGTGTAGTGTAGTGTACTGTGTGTGTAGTGTAGTGTGTGTGTGTAGTGTACTGTGTGTGTAGTGTAGTGTGTGTAGTGTAGTGTACTGTGTGTGTGTAGTGTACTATGTGTGTAATGTAGTGTAGTGTGTGTAGTGTACTGTGTGTGTAGTGTACTGTGTGTGTAGTGTGTGTGTAGTGTACTGTGTGTGTAGTGTACTGTGTGTGTAGTGTACTGTGTGTGTAGTGTACTGTGTGTGTGTAGTGTGTGTGTAGTGTACTGTGTGTGTGTAGTGTACTGTGTGTGTGTAGTGTACTGTGTGTGTGGAGTGTGTGTGTACTGTGTGTGTGGAGTGTACTGTGTGTGTAGTGTACTGTGTGTAGTGTACTGTGTGTGTGTAGTGTGTGTGTGGAGTGTGTGTGTAGTGTACTGTGTGTGTGTGTAGTGTACTGTGTGTGTAGTGTACTGTGTGTGTGTACCCTGTGTGTGTAGTGTACTGTGTGTGTAGTGTACAGTGTGTGTGTAGTGTACAGTGTGTGTGTAGTGTACTGTGTGTGTAGTGTAGTGTGTGTGTAGTGTGTGTGTAGTATCGTGTGTGTGTGTAGTGTACTGTGTGTAGTGTACTGTGTGTGTAGTGTAGTGTACTGTGTGTGTGTAGTGTACTGTGTGTGTGTAGTGTACTGTGTGTGTGGAGTGTACTGTGTGTGTGGAGTGTGTGTGTAGTGTAGTCTACTGTGTGTGTGGAGTGTACTGTGTGTGTAGTGTACTGTGTGTAGTGTACTGTGTGTGTGTAGTGTGTGTGTGGAGTGTGTGTGTAGTGTACTGTGTGTGTAGTGTAGTGTACTGTGTGTGCAGTGTGTGTGTAGTGTACTGTGTGTGTGTAGTGTAGTGTACTGTATGTGTAGTGTAGTGTACTGTATGTGTAGTGTAATGTACTGTGTGTGTAGTGTACTGTGTGTAGTGTACTGTGTGTGTGTGTAGTGTGTGTGTAGTGTACTGTGTGTGTGTAGTGTACTGTGTGTGTGTAGTGTGTGTGTAGTGTACTGTGTGTGTAGTGTACCGTGTGTGTGGTGTGTGTGGTGTGTACTGTGTGTGGTGTGTGTGTAGTGTACTGTGTGTGTGTAGTGTACTGTGTGTGTAGTGTAGTGTACTGTGTGTGGAGTGTACTGTTTGTGTAGTGTACTGTGTGTGTGTACCGTGTGTGTGTAGTGTACTGTGTGTGGTGTGTGTGTAGTGTACTGTGTGTGTGTAGTGTACTGTGTGAGTGTAGTGTACTGTGTGTAGTGTAGTGTACTGTGTGTGTGTAGTGTACTGTGTGTAGTGTAGTGTACTGTGTGAGTGTAGTGTACTGTGTGTAGTGTAGTGTACTGTGTGTAGTGTACTGTGTGTGTGGAGTGTGTGTGTAGTGTAGTGTACTGTGTGTGTGTAGTGTACTGTGTAGTGTACTGTGTGTGTGGAGTGTGTGTGTAGTGTACTGTGCAGTGTAGTGTACTGTGTGTGTGGAGTGTGTAGTGTAGTGTACTGTGTGTGTGTAGTGTAGTGTGTGTGTAGTGTACTGTGTGTGTAGTGTAGTGTACTGTGTGTGTGGAGTGTGTAGTGTAGTGTACTGTGTGTGTGTAGTGTACTGTGTGTGTGGAGTGTGTGTGTAGTGTAGTGTACTGTGTGTGTGTAGTGTAGTGTGTGTGTAGTGTACTGTGTGTGTAGTGTACTGTGTGTGTAGTGTACCGTGTGTGTGGTGTGTACTGTGTGTGTGTAGTGTGTGTGTAGTGTACTGTGTGTGTAGTGTACTGTGTGTGTAGTGTACCACGTGTGTGGAGTGAACTGTGTGTAGTGTAGTGTACTGTGTGTGTGTACCGTGTGTGTGGAGTGTACTGTTTGTGTGTGTAGTGTACTGTGTGTGTAGTGTACCGTGTGTGTAGTGTACCGTGTGTGTGGAGTGTACTGTTTGTGTAGTGTACTGTGTGTGTAGTGTACCGTGTGTGTGGAGTGTGTGTAGTGTACTGTGTAGTGTAGTGTAGTGTGTGGAGTGTACTGTGTAGTGTACTGTGTAGTGTACTGTGTGTGTGTACTGTGTGTGTAGTGTACCGTGTGTGTGTGTGGAGTGTAGTGCACTGTGTGTGTGGAGTGTACTGTGTGTGGAGTGTACTGTGTAGTGTACTGTTTGTGTATAGTGTACTGTGTGTGTGTGTGTACCGTGTGTGTAGTGTTCTGTGTGTACTGTGTAGTGTAGTGTGTGTGGAGTGCACTGTGTGTGTGTGGAGTGTGTGTAGTGTACTGTTTGTGTGTAGTGTAGTGTACTGTGTAGTGTACTGTGTGTGTAGTGTACTGTGTGTGTGTGGAGTGTAGTGTACTGTGTGTGTGGAGTGTAGTGTACTGTGTGTGTGGAGTGTAGTGTACTGTGTGTGTAGTGTACTGTGTGTGTAGTGTACTGTGTGTGTGTGTAGTGTACTGTGTGTGTAGTGTAGTGTGTGTGTAGTGTACTGTGTGTGTGTAGTGTACTGTGTGTGTGTAGTGTGTGTGTAGTGTACTGTGTGTGTAGTGTACCGTGTGTGTGGTGTGTACTGTGTGTGGTGTGTGTGGTGTGTACTGTGTGTGGTGTGTTTGTAGTGTACTGTGTGTGTGTAGTGTACTGTGTGTGTGTAGTGCACTGTGTGTGTAGTGTAGTGTACTGTGTGTGGAGTGTACTGTTTGTGTAGTGTACTGTGTGTGTGTACCGTGTGTGTGTAGTGTACTGTGTGTGGTGTGTGTGTAGTGTACTGTGTGTGTGTAGTGTACTGTGTGTGTGTAGTGTACTGTGTGTGTGTAGTGTACTGTGTGTGTGTAGTGTACTGTGTGTAGTGTAGTGTACTGTGTGTGTGGAGTGTGTGTGTAGTGTACTGTGTGTGTGTAGTGTACTGTGTAGTGTACTGTGTGTGTGGAGTGTGTGTGTAGTGTAGTGTACTGTGCAGTGTAGTGTACTGTGTGTGTGGAGTGTGAGTGTAGTGTACTGTGTGTGCGTAGTGTAGTGTGTGTGTAGTGTACTGTGTGTGTAGTGTAGTGTACTGTGTGTGTGGAGTGTGTGTAGTGTAGTGTACTGTGTGTGTGTAGTGTACTGTGTGTGTGGAGTGTGTGTGTAGTGTAGTGTACTGTGTGTGTGTATTGTAGTGTGTGTGTAGTGTACTGTGTGTGTGGAGTGTGTGTGTAGTGTAGTGTAGTGTGTGTGTGTAGTGTAGTGTGTGTGTAGTGTACTGTGTGTGTAGTGTACTGTGTGTGTAGTGTACTGTGTGTGTAGTGTAGTGTACTGTGTGTGGAGTGTGTGTGTAGTGTACTGTGTGTGTGTAGTGTACTGTGTGTGTGGAGTGTGTAGTGTAGTGTACTGTGTGTGTGTAGTGTAGTGTGTGTGTAGTGTACTGTGTGTGTAGTGTACTGTGTGTGTAGTGTACCGTGTGTGTGGTGTATACTGTGTGTGTGTAGTGTGTGTGTAGTGTACTGTGTGTGTAGTGTACTGTGTGTGTAGTGTACCGCGTGTGTGGAGTGAACTGTGTGTAGTGTAGTGTACTGTGTGTGTGTACCGTGTGTGTGGAGTGTACTGTTTGTGTGTGTAGTGTACTGTGTGTGTAGTGTACCGTGTGTGTAGTGTACCGTGTGTGTGGAGTGTACTGTTTGTGTAGTGTACTGTGTGTGTGTGTAGTGTACTGTGTGTGTAGTGTACCGTGTGTGTGGAGTGTGTGTAGTGTACTGTGTAGTGTAGTGTAGTGTGTGGAGTGTACTGTGTAGTGTACTGTGTAGTGTACTGTGTAGTGTACTGTGTGTGTGTACTGTGTGTGTAGTGTACCGTGTGTGTGTGTGGAGTGTAGTGCACTGTGTGTGTGGAGTGTACTGTGTGTGGAGTGTACTGTGTAGTGTACTGTTTGTGTATAGTGTACTGTGTGTGTGTGTACCGTGTGTGTAGTGTGTAGTGTACTGTGTGTACTGTGTAGTGTAGTGTGTGTGGAGTGCACTGTGTGTGTGTGGAGTGTGTGTAGTGTACTGTTTGTGTGTAGTGTAGTGTACTGTGTGTGTAGTGTACTGTGTGTGTAGTGTACTGTGTGTGTGTGGAGTGTAGTGTACTGTGTGTGTGGAGTGTAGTGTACTGTGTGTGTGGAGTGTAGTGTACTGTGTGTGTGGAGTGTACTGTGTGTGGAGTGTACTGTGTAGTGTACTGTTTATGTATAGTGTACTGTGTGTGTGTACCGTGTGTGTAGTGTGTGTGTGTAGTGCACTGTGTGTGTACTGTGTGTGTAGTGCACTGTGTGTGTGGAGTGTGTGTAGTGTAATGTGTGTACTGTGTAGTGTAGTGTGTGTGGAGTGCACTGTGTGTGTGTGGAGTGTGTGTAGTGTACTGTGTGTGTAGTGTACTGTGTGTGTAGTGTACTGTGTGTGTAGTGTACTGTGTGTGTGGAGTGTACTGTGTGTGGAGTGTACTGTGTAGTGTACTGTTTATGTATAGTGTACTGTATGTGTGTGTACCGTGTGTGTAGTGTGTGTGTGTAGTGCACTGTGTGTGTGGAGTGTGTGTAGTGTACTGTGTGTGTAGTGTACTGTGTGTGTAGTGTACTGTGTGTGTAGTGTGTGTAGTGTACTATTTGTGTGTAGTGTAGTGTACTGTGTGTGTACTGTGTGTGTAGTGTACTGTGTGTGTAGTGCACTGTGTGTGTAGTGCACTGTGTGTGTAGTGTGTGTGCAGTGTACTGTGTAGTGTGTGTGTGTAGTGCACTGTGTGTGTAATGTGTGTGTGGAGTGCGCTGTGTGTGTGTGGAGTGTGTGTGTAGTGTACTGTGTGTGTGTAGTGTGTGTGTAGTGTACTGTGTGTGGAGTGTGTGTACAGTGTGTGTGTGTGTGGAGTGTACTGTGTGTGTGTGGAGTGTACTGTGTGTGTGGAATGTGTGTGTGCTGTGTGTGTGGAGTGTGTGTGCTGTGTGTGTGTACTGTGTGTGTGTGTGAAGTGTGTGTGCTTTGTGTGTGTGTGCTGTGTGTGTGTGGAGTGTGTGTGTACTGTGTGTGTGGAGTGTACTGTGTGTGTGTGTACTGTGTGTGGAGTGTGTGTGCTGTGTGTGTACTGTGTGTGTGTGTGCAGTGTGTGTGCTGTGTGTGTACTCTGTGTGTACTGTGTGTGGAGTGTGTGTACTGTGTGTGTGGAGTGTACTGTGTGTGTCTACTGTGTGTGCGAAGTGTTTGTGTACTGTGTGTGTAGTGTGTGTGGAGACGTCTTGAGTCTAGCTGGGGGCCAAGCAGGGCCAGGCTCGGGATTGCTGCCCCTCATGCCGCTGTTGGTGCCCCTCCCCTCGCCCCCTCCCCTCGCCCCGCCCCCTCCCCTCGCCCCCCCGCCCCCTCCCCTCGCCCCCTCCCCTTGCCCCCGTAGATCTCCATGGACTGCCTCAGCTGGGAGTTTGTGGTGTCCACTGTGGAAGACAACAACATCCTGGTCCCTCCCAAGGTGGTGCACTCGCAACGTGTGGAGTGGACTCACACACACAGCACACACACAGTACACACACACAGTACACACACACAGCACACACACACAGCACACACACTCCACACACACAGTACACACAGCACACACACTCCACACACAGTACACACACACAGCACACACACACACTTCACACACAGTACACACAGCACACACACTCAGTACACACACACAGCACACACTTCACATACACAGTACACACACACAGCACACACACTTCAAACACACAGCACACACACACACACTGTACACACACACTACACACACAGTACACTACACACACACTACACACACCACTGTGGAAGACAACAACATCCTGGTCCCTCCCAAGGTGGTGCACTCGCAACGTGTGGAGTGGACTCACACACAGCACACACACTCCACACACACAGTACACACACACTCCACACACACAGTACACACACAGCACACTACACACACACACACACACTGTACACACACACTACACACACAGTACACTACACACACACTACACACACCACTGTGGAAGACAACACCATCCTGGTCCCTCCCAAGGTGGTGCACTCGCAACGTGTGGAGTGGACTCGGTGTGGAGTCGTGGTGTGTGGAGTCGTGGTGTGTGGAGTGTGGAGTGGACTCAGTGTGTGTGTGGAGTGTCGAGTGTGTGGAGTGGACTCAGTGTGTGTGGGGAGTGTGGAGTGGACTCGGTGTGGAGTCGTGGTGTGTGGAGTCGGTGTGGAGTGTGGAGTGTGTGTGGAGTGTGGAGTCGGTGTGGAGTGTGGAGTGGACTCCGTGTGTGGAGTGGACTCTGTGTGTGGAGTGTGGAGTGGAGTGTGGTGTGTGGAGTAGACTCTGTGTGTGTGTGGAGTCGGTGTGCAGTGTGGAGTGGACTCCGTGTGTGGAGTGTGGAGTGGACTCGGCGTGTGTGTGGAGTGTGGAGTCGTGGTGTGTGGAGTGGACTCGGTGTGTGTGTGGTGTGTGGAGTGTGGAGTGGACTCGGTGTGAGTGTGGAGTGGACTCTGTGTGTGGAGTGTGGAGTGGAGTGTGGTGTGAGTGTGGAGTGGACTCTGTGTGTGGAGTGTGGAGTGGAGTGTGGTGTGAGTGTGGAGTGTAAAGATCGGCCTCTGTGGAGGTCGTGAAGGACGCCGCTGCTGCTGGGCAGCTGGAGGCTGACCCCCTGTGACCCCTATGACTCCCTGTGACCCCTGTGACCCCCTGTGACCCCCCCCCGGCTAGGACGGGGTGTGGGTTCGGGGCCTGTACCTGGAGGGAGCCGGCTGGGACCGCCGGGCGTCTTGCCTGGTGGAGGCCGAGCCGATGGAGCTCGTCTGTGCCATGCCAACGGTGCACTTCAAGCCCGTCGAGAACAAGCGGAAATCCGCCAGGGGTGACCACCGCCACCACCGCTATCACCACCACCACCACCGCCACCACCACCACCACTATCACCACCGCCAACACCACCACCACCGCTATCACCACCACCACCACCGCCATCGCCACCACCACCACCACTATCACCACCGCCAACACCACCACCACCGCTATCACCACCACCATCACCACCGCCAACACCACCACCACCGCTATCACCACCGCCACTAACATCTGTACCACCGCCATCACCACCACCACCGATATCACCGCCACCGCTATCGCCACCACCACCACTATCACCACCGCCAACACCACCACCACCGCTATCACCACCGCCACTAACATCTCTACCACCGCCACCACCACTATCACCAACACCACCACCGCTATCACCACCACCACCACCGCTATCGCCACCACCACCGCCACTAACATCTGTACCACCGCCACCACCACTATCACCAACACCACCACCACTATCACCACCACCGCTATCGCCACCACCACCACCGCTATCACCACCGCCACTAACATCTGTACCACCGCCACCACCACCATCTGTGCCACCGCACTACCGCCTGGTGCGTGACTGTGCGTGCTACCACACGAGCAGTATGTGTGTGGTACCAGGCTAGGTACACAACTGTGTGTGTGTGGTACCAGGCTAGGTACACAACTCTGTGTGTGTGTGTGGTACCAGGCTAGGTACACAACTGTGTGTGTGTGTGGTACCAGGCTAGGTACACAACTGTGTGTGTGTGGTACCAGGCTAGGTACACAACTGTGTGTGTGTGTGGTACCAGGCTAGGTACACAACTGGGTGTGTGTGGTACCAGGCTAGGTACACAACTGTGTGTGTGTGTGGTACCAGGCTAGGTACACAACTGTGTGTGTGTGGTACCAGGCTAGGTACACAACTGTGTGTGTGTGGTACCAGGCTAGGTACACAACTGTGGGTGTGTGGGTACCAGGCTAGGTAACACAACTGTGTGTGTGTGTGTGGTACCAGGCTAGGTACACAAACTGTGTGTGTGTGTGAGTGGTACCAGGCTAGGTACACAACTGTGTGTGTGTGTGGTACCAGGCTAGGTACACAACTGTGTTGTGTGTGGTACCAGGCTAGGTACACAACTGTATGTGTGTGGTACCAGGCTAGGTACACAACTGTGTGTGTGTGTGTGGTACCAGGCTAGGTACACAACTGTGTGTGTGTGTGGTACCAGGCTAGGTACACAACTGTGTTTGTGTGTGAGTGGTACCAGGCTAGGTACACAACTGTGTGTGTGAGAGTGGTACCAGGCTAGGTACACAACTGTGTGTGTGAGTGGTACCAGGCTAGGTACACAACTGTGTGTGTGTGTGTGAGTGGTACCAGGCTAGGTACACAACTGTGTGTGAGTGGTACCAGGCTAGGTACACAACTGTGTGTGAGTGGTACCAGGCTAGGTACACAACTGTGTGTGTGAGTGGTACCAGGCTAGGTACACAACTGTGTGTGTGTGTGGTACCAGGCTAGGTACACAACTGTGTGTGTGTGTGGTACCAGGCTAGGTACACAACTGTGTGTGTGGTACCAGGCTAGGTACACAACTGTGTGTGTGTGTGTGGTACCAGGCTAGGTACACAACTGTGTGTGTGTGGTACCAGGCTAGGTACACAACTGTGTATGTGTGAGTGGTACCAGGCTAGGTACACAACTGTGTGTGTGTGTGGTACCAGGCTAGGTACACAACTGTGTGTGTGTGTGGTACCAGGCTAGGTACACAACTGTGTGAGTGAGTGGTACCAGGCTAGGTACACAACTGTGTGTGTGTGTGTGTGGTACCAGGCTAGGTACACAACTGTGTGTGTGTGTGTGGTACCAGGCTAGGTACACAACTGTGTGTGTGTGTGGTACCAGGCTAGGTACACAACTGTGTGTGTGTGAGTGGTACCAGGCTAGGTACACAACTGTGTGTGTGAGTGGTACCAGGCTAGGTACACAACTGTGGTGTGAGTGGTACCAGGCTAGGTACACAACTGTGTGTGTGTGAGTGGTACCAGGCTAGGTACACAACTGTGTGTGTGTGTGGTACCAGGCTAGGTACACAACTGTGTGTGTGTGTGAGTGGTACCAGGCTAGGTACACAACTGTGTGTGTGTGTGAGTGGTACCAGGCTAGGTACACAACTGTGTGTGTGGTACCAGGCTAGGTACACAACTGTGTGTGTGTGGTACCAGGCTAGGTACACAACTGTGTATGGGTGTGTGAGTGGTACCAGGCTAGGTACACAACTGTGTGTTGTGTGGTACCAGGCTAGGTACACAACTGTGTGTGTGTGGTACCAGGCTAGGTACACAACTGTGTGTGTGTGTGAGTGGTACCAGGCTAGGTACACAACTGTGTGTGTGTGGTACCAGGCTAGGTACACAACTGTGTGTGTGTGGTACCAGGCTAGGTACACAACTGTGTGTGTGTGTGTGTGGTACCAGGCTAGGTACACAACTGTGTGTGTGTGTGTGTGTGGTACCAGGCTAGGTACACAACTGTGTGTGTGTGGTACCAGGCTAGGTACACAACTGTGTGTGTGTGTGTGTGGTACCAGGCTAGGTACACAACTGTGTGTGTGTGTGAGTGGTACCAGGCTAGGTACACAACTGTGTGTGTGTGGTACCAGGCTAGGTACACAACTGTGTGTGTGTGGTACCAGGCTAGGTACACAACTGTGTGTGTGTGTGTGTGGTACCAGGCTAGGTACACAACTGTGTGTGGTGTGGTACCAGGCTAGGTACACAACTGTGTGTGTGTGGTACCAGGCTAGGTACACAACTGTGTGTGTGTGTGTGTGGTACCAGGCTAGGTACACAACTGTGTGTGTGTGGTACCAGGCTAGGTACACAACTGTGTGTGTGTGTGTGTGGTACCAGGCTAGGTACACAACTGTGTGTGTGTGGTACCAGGCTAGGTACACAACTGTGTGTGTGTGTGTGGTACCAGGCTAGGTACACAACTGTGTGTGTGTGTGAGTGGTACCAGGCTAGGTACACAACTGTGTGTGTGTGTGTGTGGTACCAGGCTAGGTACACAACTGTGTGTGTGTGTGTGTGGTACCAGGCTAGGTACACAACTGTGTGTGTGTGTGTGTGGTACCAGGCTAGGTACACAACTGTGTGTGTGTGTGGTACCAGGCTAGGTACACAACTGTGCGTGTGTGTGTGTGGTACCAGGCTAGGTACACAACTGTGTGTGTGTGTGTGGTACCAGGCTAGGTACACAACTGTGTGTGTGTGGTACCAGGCTAGGTACACAACTGTGTGTGTGTGGTACCAGACTAGGTACACAACTGTGTGTGTGTGTGGTACCAGGCTAGGTACACAACTGTGTGTGTGTGTGTGTGGTACCAGGCTAGGTACACAACTGTGTGTGTGTGGTACCAGGCTAGGTACACAACTGTGTGTGAGTGGTACCAGGCTAGGTACACAACTGTGTGTGTGTGTGGTACCAGGCTAGGTACACAACTGTGTGTGTGTGTGTGTGGTACCAGGCTAGGTACACAACTGTGTGTGTGTGGTACCAGGCTAGGTACACAACTGTGTGTGTGTGTGGTACCAGGCTAGGTACACAACTGTGTGTGTGTGTGGTACCAGGCTAGGTACACAACTGTGTGTGTGTGTGTGTGTGGTACCAGGCTAGGTACACAACTGTGTGTGTGTGGTACCAGGCTAGGTACACAACTGTGTGTGTGTGTGGTACCAGGCTAGGTACACAACTGTGTGTGTGTGTGGTACCAGGCTAGGTACACAACTGTGTGTGTGTGGTACCAGGCTAGGTACACAACTGTGTGTGTGTGTGGTACCAGGCTAGGTACACAACTGTGTGTGTGTGTGTGTGGTACCAGGCTAGGTACACAACTGTGTGTGTGTGTGGTACCAGGCTAGGTACACAACTGTGTGTGTGTGTGTGTGGTACCAGGCTAGGTACACAACTGTGTGTGTGTGTGAGTGGTACCAGGCTAGGTACACAACTGTGTGTGTGTGTGGTACCAGGCTAGGTACACAACTGTGTGTGTGTGTGAGTGGTACCAGGCTAGGTACACAACTGTGTGTGTGTGTGAGTGGTACCAGGCTAGGTACACAGAGAGAAGTGTTTCGTGGATGCATCCAGAACGTGGAGCAGATCGATGATCTTAGCACGTGTGGACCCCCCCCCTCCCCCCTCCCCCCTCCCTCCTCCCCCTTCTCCCTCCCCCCCTCCCTCCCCCTTCCCCTTCCCCCCTCCCCCCTCCCCTCCTACCTCCTCCTCCCTACCCCCCTCCCCCCTCCTCCCTCCCCCCTCCCTCCCCTCCCCCCTCCTCCCCCCTCCTCCCCCCCCCCCTCCCCCTACCTCCTTCCCCCCCCTCCTTCCCCCCCCCTCCCCTCCTTCCCCCCCCTCCCTCCTTCCCCCCCCCTCCCTCCTCCCCCTCCCCTCCCCCTCCCCCCTCCTCCCCCCTCCTCCCCCCTCCTCCCTCCCTCCCCTCCCCCCTCCTCCCCCCTCCTCCCCCCCCTCCCCCTACCTCCTTCCCCCCCCTCCTTCCCCCCCCCTCCCCTCCTTCCCCCCCCTCCCTCCTTCCCCCCCCCTCCCTCCTTCCCCCCCCCTCCCTCCTCCCCCTCCCCTCCCCCTCCCCCCTCCTCCCCCCTCCTCCCTCCCCCCTCCCTCCCCTCTCCCTCCCCTCTCCCTCCCCTCTCCCTCCCCTCTCCCTCCCCTCCCCCCTCCTCCCCCCTCCTCCCCCCCTCCCCCTCCCCTCCTACCTCCTTCCCCCCTCCCTCCTTCCCTCCCCTCCCTCCTTCCCCCCTCTTCTCCCCCCCTCCCCCCCCCTCCTCCCTCCCTCCTCCCTCCTCCCTCCCTCCCTCCCCCCCACCCTCCCCCCCCCCCCTCCCCCTCCCCCCCAGGGCTGTATTCGTGTCCCTGCTACTACTGCCCGGACCGTGCGGGCAGCCCGGAGCGGCCGTCCATCGTGCTGGGCGTGGACCTCAGAGCGGGGTCACAGCCCGCGGACCACTGGGTCAAGCGTGGCACCGCACTGCTGATGAGCCTGGCCAACTGAAAAACACCACCACCACCATCACCACCACCACCACCACACCACCACCACCACCACACCACCACCACTACTACCCCACCACCACCACCATCACACCATCACCACCACCACACCACCACCACCACACCACCACTACTACCCCACCACCACCACCACCACTACCCCTACCCCACCACCACCACCACTACCCCTACCCCACCACCACCACCACACCACCACCACTACCCCTACCCCACCACCACCACCACACCACCACCACCACCACTACCCCTACCCCACCATCACCACTACTACCCCTAGCCCACCACTACCCCTAGCCCACCACCACCACTACCCCTAGCCCACCACCACCACTACCCCTAGCCCACCACCACCACTACCCCTAGCCCACCACCACCACTACCCCTAGCCCACCACCACCACTACCCCTACCCCACCACCACTACTACCCCTACCCCACCACCACCACTACCCCTACCCCACCACCACCACTACCCCTACCCCACCACCACCACACGACCACCATCATGACCACCACCATCATGACCACCACCACCCCTACCACCACCAGCACCCCACCACCACCACCCCACCACCACCACCATCATCACCACCCCCACCACCACCCACCACCACCACCACACTACACTATACACTACATTATACACTACACTATACATTACACTACACACTACATTCTACACTATACACTACACTACATTATACACTACACTATACACTACACTACATTATACACTACACACTACATTATACACTACATTATACACTATACACCACATTATACACTATACACTACACTACATTATACACTACACACTACACTACATTATACACTACACACTACACTACATTATATACTACACACTACACTACATTATACACTATACACTACACAGTACTATACACTACTTGACCGGGTTAACAGAGGGCTTTGTGATAACACAAATCCCACTCACTACTAGATTCATGTTGAGTGTTTGTTCGTCTGGAGGGCGTTTCATGACTTGACCGGGTTAACAGAGGGCTTTGTGATAACACAAATCCCACTCACTACTAGATTCATGTTGAGTGTCTGTTCGTCTGGAGGTCGTTTCATTACTTGACCGGGTTAACAGAGGGCTTTGTGATAACACAAATCCCTCTCACTACGAGATTCATGTTGAGTGTCTGTTCGTCTGGAGGTAGTTTCATTACTTGACCGGGTTAACAGAGGGCTTTGTGACAACACAAATCCCTCTCACTACTAGGTTCATGTTGAGTGTTCGTCTGGAGGTCGTTTCATTACTTGACCGGGTTAACAGAGGGCTTTGTGATAACACAAATCCCTCTCACTACGAGATTCATGTTGGGTGTCTGTTCGTCTGGAGGTAGTTTCATTACTTGACCGGGTTAACAGAGGGCTTTGTGATAACACAAATCCCTCTCACGTACACACGTATACGTACACACACACGTACACGCACACACATGACACAGACACACACGTACACAGGCACACGTACACACACACACACACACGTACACAGGCACACGTACACACACACACGTACACACACAGACACACACACACGTACACACATGCACACAGACACATACACGTACACACGCGCATACACAGACACACACACACGTACACACAGACACACATGCACACACACGTACACACAGACACGTGCACACGTACACAGACACACGTACACATACACACAGACACACACGCGTACACACACACATACACATGCACACACGTACACACAGACACACACAGACACGCACACACGTACACACAGAGACGCGCACACGTACACACAGACACACGCACACGTACACACAGACACACGCACACGTACACACAGACACACGCACACGTACACACGCACACGTACACACAGACACACACACGCACACACGAACACACACACGCATACACGTACATACAGACATGCACACACACACGTACACACGTACACACGCACACGTACACACGTACACACGTACACAGACACACACACGTACACAGACACACACACGTACACACACACAACTTTTGGCGTGCTGTGTGATTCAAGACCCGCCCAGAGTGTTCTTGTTATTTTCCTTCTCGATTAAAGAACGATGGTCGATGTCGATGTGACTCGGTTCCTCTATCATTCCCTGTGCCCGTGTCGATGAGTCCATCCGCCAACATCGAACAACAACAACAACGCTCTATTGTACGCGGGGCGTGTGTAGGTAATGGCTCCATAGAGGCGCAATCAAGCACCGTTATAGGGAGGCAACACTATTTACTAACGCAACTTGTAGTGACACTCGGATAGCAACGGGCGTGGCCAAGCCAGGCGGGCCACTGTTTGGCCACCCTGGCTCAGGTCAGCGTGGAGCCGCCCTATATGCACCTCGGCCTGCCCAGGCCACGCCCAGGCCACGCCCAGGTCGTGCCCAGGCCACGCCCAGGCCACGCCCAGGCCATGCCCAGGCCACGCCCACCTTCTCGAACCCTCGAGAAGGCTCTGCTCCTGGCCACGTGACCACCAAGGTCCCCCTGGGGCCCACGGCCCCCACCTTGATCCGGTCACGCGTCCAGGCCCGGTTTGCACTACCTAGATTATAGTTAACTATAGTTAACTAACTACCTAGATTATAGTTCACTATAGTTAACTAACTACGTAGATTATAGTTCACTATAGTATAGTTAACTAACTACGTAGATTATAGTTAACTATAGTTAACTTACTACCTAGATTATAGTTAACTATAGTTAACTAAATACCTAAATTATAGTTAACTATAGTTAACTATAGTATAGTTAACTATAGTTAACTAACTACCTAGATTATAGTTAACTATAGTTAACTAACTACCTGGATTATATTTTGATTTAAAGCTTTCGTGACTGCAGTAATTCATATTCTTAGTTCTTTCGGTAAAGTCACGTTGAAGGGAAACAACAAAACAATAAAATATATATAAAACAATAAAAATTCTCACGACGTTTCGACCATAACACAAACGGTCGTCTTCAGGTGTGTCGGTTTGAAGACGACCGTTTGTGTTATGGTCGAAACGTCGTGAGAATTTTTATTGTTTTATATATATTTTATTGTTTTGTTGTTTCCCTTCAACGTGACTTTACCGAAAGAACTAAGAATATACCTAGATTATAGTTAACTATAGTTAACTTACTACCTAGATTATAGTTAACTATAGTTAACTATAGTATAGTTCACCAACTACTTAGATTATAGTTAACTATAGTTAACTAACTACCTAGATTATAGTTAACTATAGTATAGTTGACTATAGTTAACTAACTACCTAGATTATAGTTAACTATAGTTAACTTACTACCTAGATTATAGTTAACTATAGTTAACTATAGTGTAGTTAACTGTAGCTAACTATAGTATAGTTGACTATAGTTAACCAACTACACTTCCATCACACACAGCGTTGCGAAGTCGGCCACTATGGGATGGCCACCTGTGCTTTGAGCTGTGATAGCACGGGGGTGAAGGAGGTCCCAATCGAGGTCCTTACACGAACACAAATTATTCATTTTGTTTTATTCCAAGCCGTGGCCAATTCGTTTGCACCCACATCGCCTGGAGAGTCTCTGCGAGTTCCTGGGCGACTTGCAAGCGCTACCTGGGTCCTAGAGTGAGCACGCTCTGGGGTGCCTACACCAGAGACAGGACACCTAGGGGGGCCGTCCATAAATGACGCCACGCGATTTTTGACCCCTCCCCGCCACCCCCCCTCTCGTCACACGGCGTCACAAAGTCAGACCCCCCTCATATATGACGTCACAAAGCTCTGCCGCCACCCCCCCCCCCCCCCCCCCCACAAAAAAAAATTCCATTTTGAAAATAAAACATGCTTCAAATCGCTTTAAAACTATTGTCGATGTGTTTTCTGGGTTCTTTCGGTAAAGTCACCACGTAGAATGGGAATAAAACAATACAAATAATAACAATAAAATTGTCACGACGTTTCGGCCACAACACAAGTAGCCTTCCTCAGGTGAAGAAACAGAACTGTCCGGAAGACAGCGCTTGAGTCTTCCGGACAAGCGCTGTCTCCCCGACAGTCCTGTTTCTTCACCTGAGGAAGGCTACTTGTGTTGTGGCCGAAACGTCGCGATAATTTTATTCTGTTACTAGCGGTAAGTACCCGGCGCTGCCCGGGCGAAAAAGGCAGCCACACACACGTGGACTTACACACAGACATCGACCCACACACATAGAAACACATCGACTTAGACGCGCGCACACACGCACACATATGGTTAAACCCAGGATGGATCGTTAGTAGGCCAGCCTAAATGTTTCTAACCGGCGAAGATGTTCCATTAGGGGGGTGCACGTTTCGCAAGCGTAGAGAAGGGAGGGAATGACCGTGGCCGATAAGACCTGAAGCTTAGTGCGGAGCGACAGACCAGGTATCTTTCACACAGTGTAACGTAGCCGATGAAAATATAATGGCGCTCCACTGATATTGAGTGAGACTTCTGCTGTTAAACCGGAGCCGGTCATGAGCACACTGGCCAGGTATGGGAATCTCTCCAATCTCTGCACAACTGCCGTATCACCAATTGTGGGTAGTGGGGGTGGATTGTCCGATGGTGCAAAATACCCAGGCAGGTGCTTAGTTTTGGTGGGGCTGATGGTAAGGCCCGATCTCTTAGTGGCACGCTCCAGTCTCAGCAGCAGCGTCTCCAACTCCTCTGAGTGAGCAGCAATCACCAGAGCATTGGCATACATTACTTGGTTGAGGAATAGGGAGCCATCCCTTGACTGCAGCCGGGCATTGATCAGCCTCCCATTGTGCCATATGGTAATTCTTACAGTACAGCCATTGAAGGCTTCACGAACTACGTGGTCAAAATAGATGTTAAATAATGTGGGAGCCAGAGGACATCGCTGTCACACCCCAAGGTGTAGAGGGAATGGCTCTGGCTGATGGCCACGTAGTTTGACGCGGGGCCACTCACCATCATGAAGGTCCTTAAGGATCGTGAGCAAAGGGTGAGGAACTCC